CAGATCACCTCCACGTACACACTGTGCAGCCATCATGCCCAGGAAGCAGCAGTCAGGCACCCCGAGGACTGCACCCCTGGGCTGTGCACCACACCCAGCCAGTTGCTCACTTGATGTTCTCTGTGGTCCCTTCAACGGTGTGGGCCAGCGAAGTCCCCTGGTAAGCAGTGGCATGAAGGTAATCAAAGGTGACATCTGCCAGGTTGCTGTCCATTTCCTTCAGCTCCTGAAGGATGACGCCACGCTCCTTCTCAATCTGAGAATCCTCCAGTGCACAGTTCTGCACAAGGTCACTCAGGAGCTCTACAACTGCAACACAGTTCCTACATTAGCATCCCACTGCCCAACTGCTACCCAGTGCTGCTGAAAGGAGACACACAGGAGTGAGCAAACACCATGCTGGGGGAGGGCATGCAATGTAACAGAGCTGAGTGCTACCCATTCCCAAAGCATCTGGGAGGAACAAACAACACTAGTTTAGCAAGAATTCTCCAAATCAGCTTGCCAAGCACCTTCACCAGCAGAGTGCAGGCAGCATCTGCAGATAGTAAAATATGTCAGAAGCACGTTCTCTTCCAGATATACACTGAATCCTCACAGTTTGTGATGCCTACAGCATAGCCCACGTCTACAGTAAGGCCCCTACTCGAATCACTGCCTCTGCCCCAAACCAACCCAGAGAAGGCAGCAAGTGGCATTACAGAGCATGAGGAGCACCCGCAAGAGCTGCACTGAGAACTCCTCACACAGCAGCTGTGGCTGACCTCAGTTGCTAAGCTCCATAAAACAACCACAAACTAGTGAATCCTTCCTGGAAATACAGTGCAGCCTGACATAATTACAACTCCTGGTTTAGGGACACATGAACACACAGCCTTGAAGCACCACATCACTGCTCTCTTCAACTACCAACCAGAACCTCCAATTTACTGCTCAGCTTCAACTTCATTCCTGGGGCTGCTGACAGAACAGATGCTTGGGGGTGAGAAACAGAAGCACATGCACTTACTTAACTTCCCAATCAGACTTTGCCCCTGGCCATCCTACCTTTGGGCATGTCCTTGGACAAGGCTTTGATGTAGAAGGCAGTTTGCTCACGGGAGGTGTACCCGTTCAGGTGAGCTCCCAGACTCTCCACTTCCTTCTCAAAAGCTGAGCCAGGACGCTTCTTTGTGCCCTAAAAGAAACCAGATATACTCAGTTATGAAATGAACAAACTTCCCTTCAGGTCAAAACTAAAGCAATGAAAATAACAATAAAGATTGTCATGTGATTCATAAAAGCCAAGAGCAGCTGCATAAGACAGGAGAATACTTGGCTTATTTCCTCTAGATAAAGGATGTCTGAGATGTATTTTGAAAGACCAACACAAAATGTCAATAAAGCTTGTGTTTATTGAGACACAATAAAGCTGCCCAAAAAATAAAGGCTGTCATTACTGCTAACCAACACAAAATCAGCACGTAAGGAGACAACCTGTGCTGAGAAAACAGTGTTTGAACAGCACCCTGGAAGTAAACTAAGAGCAAGTCCAAACCAAAAATAAGCAGGTTTCTAGCTATCCAAGCAGTGACATACAGAAGACAAATAGATGCAGAAGACTATTTGTAATACAGGGCCCATCTCTTAAGGAGCTGGCCAGATGCTGTAGTTGCCTATGAAGGCACAGGCTGAACTTGAGTCAGCAAGTCCCAGGCTTCGATGTCTTCTGCCCTGTTCAGCAGACACTTGCATAATTTAAACAGCAAGAATTATAGCCTCTGAGCTTTGCTGGACCAGTAAGAAAAGCAAAGTAAAATAAATGGCAACAGGAAATGCTGCTTTGAACTCTCTGTGCTAACCTAAGGAAAGATGCTTTATAGCACCGTGCTCTATGTGTACTACACTTTTTAATTATATTTTTTCCTTTAAGAGAAATATCACCAAATAGTAAATAAGAATTATTTTTAATTTATGCATGCTTGCAAGGTGCTGTACATTCAACCAATAAGCACCACATAGGCTAGATGCTCTTTTCAACTTATTTGTATACTGTGTGCAAAGACTCCAGGACTGAGATGACCTGATTTACACCCTCTTTCAACATCTACAGCCTCCAAAACGAGAGGCCAATGCATGGACAGAATATTCAGGGCAGCTCTGTGCAGACCCAGCACACATCCTCACCTTAAAGGCCATGTGTTCCATAAAGAAAGCAGCCCCGTTGGTCTTTGTGTCTTCATAGCGGCTCCCAGCCTCGATCCACACACCCACCTGGCAGCAAGAGCAGCGAGTACCAACATCAGAGAAGAAAACAACCAGCATCCTAATGACACAAACACAACAGCAGGGACAAGAAGTCTGGTCCACAGACATTACACTACAAGAACCAAAATAAGAACAAACTAGCAACCGTTCCCTGCACATATTTTGGCTTTTTCTCTCTCAGCTTCACCACATCTGGTTTTGCCAGAGATCCAACTTTTACTGCTCACTCACTGCTCATACAAAAACTGTAAGGCTGACCAAATTCGTAGAGCATGAAAACTTATCTAAAGACAATACAACACCAATGTGAGCATCCTACTGCAATATTAATCCCACCTGTTCACAAGGAGAAGCAGTGGGGTCTCTGGCAAAAGCACTTGTTCAGACAGGGGCCTGTCCCTTTTGGAAAACCAGGCTAGGCAAGACTGATTGTTCCAAATGAGCCCCTAACTTATGTTAAGCTTACCGTGCAGGTTGGCTGATTGGACTCCTCTGAGGCCACACGGAGGCCGTTCTCCAGCGTGGTGACCTGGGTCTCAGGGATATTCTGGAGTGTCTGGGCATAGGTGGCAGCACCTCGCTTCCTTGCCAAAGTCAGTAAAGCCGCCTGTAAAAATAAAGGCTGTCATCACTACTAACAGACTGTTCCCCTCGGCAGGGCCGGAACTCAGAGGTCCGAAGAGGTGGGAAACCCCAAAGGAAAAGCCGCACGAACCGGTCGCACCCCAGTGCCGGGGCAGAGCGGACCGCGGCTCGGTGGCAAACCCCGCACCGGGTGACAGTGACAGTGACAGCCGCCGCTGCTCCCCGCCCGCCCAGCCCCGCTCCGGGGCGCGGGGCTCCCACCGCCACAGAAACGCCGCCCGGCCCGCACCGCCCGCCGCGTCCCCATGACCTTCCCGCCGGGACACAGGCGGGGCCCGGCAGCCACTCCGCACTGCGGGGCCGCCCGCGGCCCGGCCGGGCTCCCCCCCGCGCTGCCCCCGCGGGGCGCGGTGACTCACGGCGGGGCGCGGGCCCCACAGCAGCGCCCGCCCGGCCGCGCTGCCCGCCCGGCACACCGAGCGCGCCGCCATCTTCTTCTTCTTCCGCTGACCGACGGGCCCAGCGCCGCGCCTGCGCACAGAGGGGCCGCGGCGGGGCCGGGGCGCGCCAGAGCGGCGGGCGGGACGCCGCGCCCCCTGGTGGCGGGAGGGCGCGGCGGCGGGGCGCGGACGGGGCCCCGGGAATGGGGATATGGGAATGGGGATATGGGAATGGGGATACGGGAATGGGGATATGGGAATGGGGATACGGGAATGGGGATATGGGAATGGGGATATGGGAATGGGGATACGGGAATGGGGATATGGGAATGGGGATATGGGTATGGGGATACGGGAATGGGGGTATGGGAATGGGGATATGGGAATGGGGATATGGGAATGGGGATACGGGAATGGGGATACGGGAATGGGGATATGGGAATGGGGGTATGGGAATGGGGATATGGGGAATGGGGATACGGGAATGGGGATATGGGAATGGGGATATGGGAATGGGGATATGGGAATGGGGATATGGGAATGGGGATATGGGTATGGGGATACGGGAATGGGGGTATGGGAATGGGGATATGGGGAATGGGGATACGGGAATGGGGATATGGGAATGGGGGTATCGGGAATGGGGGTCCGGGAATGGGGGTCAGGGAATGGGGATATGGGAATGGGGATATGGGAATGGGGGTCCTGGGAATGGGGATACGGGAATGGGGGTCTGGGGAATGGGGGTATCGGGAATGGGGATTATGGGAATGGGGATATCGGGAATGAGGGTCCGGGAATGGGGATATCGGGAATGGGGGTCCGGGGAATGGAGATATCGGGAATGGGGATATCGGGAATGGGGATATCGGGAATGGGGGATCCTGGGAATGAGGGTCCGGGAATGGGGATATTGGGAATGGGGGTCTGGGGAATGGGGGATCCTGGGAATGGAGGTCCTGGGAATGGGGGTCATGAGAATGGGGGTCCCTAGAAAATGGTGAGAACAGGTCTTGGGGCATTTGGGTCCCGCAGTGGGGAAGAGGTTTTACAGCGACTTCTGTGAGCCAGAGAGAAGTTTGGTAAGAGGATCCATGTTAACCCCTGAAAAGTCCAAAAATAATCTGAGTTCTTCTTAGACAATGAGAAATGGAACCAGAACTACCAATCTGGTTACTTGCAACATATCCCTAAAACTTACTCCCTTCTATTCATCCTTAATATATAGCCACTGGTACAATAAGGAAAAGATGAAAGTTATTAATGTCAAGCAAGGGAAGGACAATAAAGAACTATTCCTATTAATCATCATATAGGCAGTAACTCTATAATTAAAGGCACAGAAACAGAAAAAAAATTGAATAAATCCCAGATATTGAAATTGTGGAACCATCCTTACCCCCCAAAACCCAGTATCAGCCTTCTCTTGGCAGCAAGCACTTTCCCCTTTGGTGTAGGTATGACTGCAGCCACCAGGTGCTGGTGGCTTCCCACTCCGGCACAGAGGGTGCTGTGATCCTTCTGAGGATGGGGAATCTGCCCATATCGCTCCCTCGGGCACAGTTCCACGGGCCCAGAGCAGGTCATGGCCAGAAGTGGCAGAAAAGAGCCAGAGGGAGGGTGCTGGGGAGCCCAGCTGCAGGGAAGCCGCTCCCAGCAGGGCCGGGGTGCAGCCGGGTGGTCTGGCCCAAAGTACCTTTATCAAGGAAAGGGCATTGAAAGCAACCCTGGGGAACACCACGGAGCTTTATTCATGATGCCAGCCCGCTGCTGGGAGCAGGAACCCTTTGGCCCCTCCACCACCCCGCAGCCACATCCTGGCCAGGTGGGGCAGGTCCCGGCAGCCCCTCGGCGTGACAGCCAGCAGCAGCTCCGGCCAGCAGCAGCCCCACCACAGCAGGGCTCATGGACAGGGTGAGCCCCAGCACTCAGAGTCCAGAGGGGCTGGTGGGAATCTGGGCATCTGGGCCCCAGGGTGGCCGAGTTGGTGTCATCAGGGTGCCATCCTTGCCTGCCCATCTCCTGGGGAAGACATCTTCCTCTCAAGGGGCTACATTCTGGTGCTGTGGTCCGCCTAAGGAGGGCAGACAGGGAGAGGTTGGTGTGGCTGCCCTCTCCATCACCATGCTGGGGACAGCAGGGCTGGGTGCTCACCGAGGCCTGGTGCCGCTCCCTGCTGATGTGCACCACGGCATCATGCACCGAGGGGAAGAAGGAGTGCTTGGTGATGGCTGAACTGAAGAAGTTGCCCTGCTCCAGCTGGGCCAGGACAGATACTGTGTGGAGGGATAAGTATCTAAAGAGGTGTCACCTAGCTGAGCCCCCTGCCACCCACCCGGAGCAGCCTCCTCCCGCCTCCTGTGTTGTGGGGGACACCAGGGTCACCACCAGGGACCCAGCTTCGAGGCTCAGATTGGATCCATGGGACAACCTGCAGCACGCATCCCCTGGGGAAACCCTGGGGATGGGAGCACCGTGGAGGGACCCCCAGGCTATCAGCTGTGTGCCAGAGGGCTGGCCCGGGGCTCATGACTCTGCAGATCCCCCTCACCCGGACAGCTGGCAATGAAGACGTCCACTTCTATCTCACGGAAATCCCTGAAGATCTGCAAATGGGAAAAACCATTTTACCCAGGAAAAGGAATGGGCAGCAGCCATCAGGGCACCCCACAGGGCCCCAGAGACACCATCAGCGAGGCTGCTGTCCTGCCTGCTCCCCAGCCCCTTACATTCTTCAGGATCTTGATGGAGACGGTGTCCACAAAGCTGACGGGGCTGAAGTCCAAGATAACAGCGGAGAAGCTGGGCTGGGGCAGCCCTAGGCTGCGCAGGGTGGGCTCTGAGGGTGCGCTGCGCTCTCCTGCACTCAACTCAATCACCGCCACACCTGGACCGTCCCCTGCACTCTGGGGAAGGGAAGGGGACCCGGTGTTATTGTCCAGGGATGGCAGCACCCTGGTCATGGCAGTGTCCCCCAGGCTCACCTCGGTGAGGTGCTGTGGCTGTATGAGGGCACAGGCAGTGGGTGGCCCCAGGAGAGGGTGCCCCTCTTACATATTCACCAACTTTTGGGCTCTTTTCAGATGTGTCAAAATCCACCCCTCTCCCCAGCACCAAGAGTGGTGCAGAGCTCTGCAGAGCTGGGCTCATTAGCTGGCACCAGGCCACCCTTTGCCCTTGCTCTTAATTCTGATTAACTTGCAAAAGGTTAATGACTTGGCAGCTCCAGCACATAAACATTAACAGCCCAGCTTTCCTACCAACCTTGGGGGTTGTGACTCAGTTCAGTCCCAGTGCCTTTCTCACTCATTGGCCCTGAACAGAACTGGGAACTGTGTGGGCCACCAAGCCCCACCAGTGCACTGACAGAAGCATCAGAGCCAGGGAGGGAAGAGGTGCAGGATGTCACTGGATGTCCCCTGCATCAAGGAAGCACCTTTTTCTTCTTTGCCTTTTCCTTCTCCAGTTTCTTCTGCTGTTTCTTCAGCTTCTTGAGGGCCTTCTTCTTCTTCTCAATCAGGCGGTCCACATCAATGCCGCTCTGCAAAGCAGTGTGGCCCCGTGTCCCCAGCTGCCCCAACACCACCCTGCTGCTGGCAGGCAGGAGATACAGAAAGCACTCTGAGGCTGGTGGCTCTCCTACCTTTTTCTTCAGGGCCTCGGCATACAGCTCCACGTTGGCAAAATAAATGGTTGAAGAAGAGCGGAAGATCTTCACGCCAGGGACCTCCTGTGCCTGGGGGCAGATGGGGAGGGTGCTACTCCAGAGATGGAGCCACCTATTTCCCTCCCCGCCACAAAAATGCCCCCAGCCCGTCTTTCCTGTGAGCCACTACTGGAGATGCTTTGAACTGCCCCCTGCTGCAGGCAGCTCTTCCCCCACCCCTGGTGCTGTTACCATCTCGTATTCCACCACATCCCTGTAGACATCGGTGTCAGAGATGCGCCCCAGGATGGAGTAGTGCGGGCTGCAGGGAGGAGAGCAAGGGGCTGAGGTCACCACAGGCTCCTCCTGCCCTTGGGATGTGGCACTGACCCCAGCCCCGGGGTACTCACAGCTGGGTACGGAAGATGACCGTGAGCAACCCAAACGCCACCGAGGCTGCCAGGCCGATGTCCAAGTTGAGCAGGAGGGTGGCTATGAATGTCACAACCCAGACCAGCTGGAGAGGGGACACAGTCAGCTGCAGCACAGCCTCTCCACTGGCACCTACAAGCCTCAGGGAGGGTGGAGAAATCCTCTCCAGGAACAAGAGCACAGCCGCAGGGCTGGCCAGCACCTTACCAGGTCCACTTTATTGGACTTCCAGAGAGTGCTAAGGTCCTTGAACTGCTTGAACATGCCCTTGAGGTTGACAATGATGATGGCAGCTAAGATGGCCTAGGAGAGAAATCTCTGCAGCTATGAGGAAGCTGAGGGCAAAGCTCTTTGCTGTTCCCCTACCATGTCACCATGCTGTGGGACAGGCACAGGTGTGGGATGTGACACTGAGGCTGTGGGACTAGATGTACCTTGGGCAGGTCCCGGAAGAGTTCTCCAATCTTCACAATGGTCACCAGGATGACCAGGGATGCGATGACACCAGCTACCTGTGCAGAAGGAGAGCGGGGGGCCAGGGGTGAGCCCCCACTGCTCGCTGTGCCTCCTGCCCCTGCGGCAGCCCCAGAGAGGGAGGCAGCACTGCCCAGACTCACCTGGCTGTTGCCCCCTGTGCTCTCCTGTACCAGGCTCCTCGACATGGAGCAGCTGATGGCAAAACACTGGAAGAAGCCTCCTAGGAAGTTGCAGAGGCCCAGTGCAATCAGCTCCTGCAGGGACAGAGCAGTGGCAGGGGAGCACCATGCTTTCATCTGGCTGCAAGAAGGGCAAGATTAGCTTTCACCCAGGGTGGGGGCCCTGTGCCTCAGAGCATCACCTGGTTGCTGTCCACTTTGTAGCCATGTTTCAGGGCAAAGATTTTGCCCAGGGAGATGCAGATGGCGTAGCCTACCACGGCAATGGCAAAGGCATTGCCCACCACCTGCCCAAAGTAGCTCATGTTAGGGACCACAGGTGGCTTCAGCCTACATTCAAGAGAAATGGGGCTCAAACAGGGGTGCTGTGGGCAGCACGGTGCCCTGGCACAGCCCCCTTCACCATCAGGCCCTGCTCACCCGCTGGGGATGTTGCCCACCACAGAGACGCCAAACTTTTCTTTCAGGTTGACCCCATAGGAGATGCCGGTGGAAACGATGATCTGGGGGAGAATAACTGGAATGAGGCAGGGTCTTCCTGCACAGGGACTGTGGTGGAGGAACACATGCCCTGGAGCAGCACTTGCCAAGGAACCCAGTCCCACTGCTCCCCGCCCTGAAGGGGACAGGGATACACCAGGGATTCCTGGATGCATCCCCCAGGAGGTTGGGGCAGCTCTGGGTACCGTGATAAGCTCGATGGGAATGGGCATGGGCAATTTGGCACCAAACTTGTGGTTGAGCTCCTTCACAATCAATATGGACACCATGGCAATGATGGAAGTCACCAGGGTGCCCACATTGGTGTCTGGCAGCTTCTTGCAGAGATCGATGACAGTCTAGAAAACACAGGAGGAGGGAATGTGCTCAGGAGGGTAGATGCCTCCCCAGTAGGATTTGGAGACCTCTATGTGCCCCACAGGTGAGCACCAGGGGTCCTTGGGTGCCAGCAAGCCCCCACTCACCACAAACAGCGAGAGCGGCCCCGAGTGCTCGCTTTGAGAGACTCCAAAAACATTTTTGAGCTGGGAGATGAGCACGTGCACAGAGGCAGCAGTGGTGTAGCCACGCACCAGCGGGTCTGAGAGGTAGGTCACCACAAATCCAAACTGCAGGAGCCCCAGGAGCACCTGGAATAACAGATGGCAGAAATGTCCCACAGATTACAGTCTCATGTTCTCTGCTAGACTGGGCTGGGACCACCTTACCTGGAAGATACCCGTCAGGACAGTGATGGTGGCCACCAGCTCCACCCTGCGAGTGTCGCGCAATTCCTCATTGACCGTTGCATTGCTGCCATTGACGGACTCCAGGAAGTCCTCGCTGGGCATCAAGGATTCTGTCAAGCTCCCGATCATGACAGAGATGACGGCAAAGGGACCTGAGAACAGACAGAGTGTGGGCAGGGAACCCAATGTGGGCACTAGGATGTCTCTGAGAGGACCTCCTAAAGGGTCAGCTCCTCTCTCCTTAGGCCAGGCTCAAAGCACACACACTATACTTTGTCTCTGACTTGGCCAACTCCCTTCTTGGTGGAGCAAAGAAGAGGCAAGAAAGGTCCCCCCAGCTGTTGATGTGGTAATGCAGCACCACGGACCTCCTTGCTCCCTCCCCAGCATTGCTGTGCAAGCACATGCTCCCTCAGCTCACCCACGGAGTTGTGCCTTGACGTTCCGAAGAAGAAGTAGAGGAAGACGGGGTAAAAGGAGGAGTAGAGACCCGTGACTGGCGGCAGCCCAGCCAGCAGCGCATAGGCAAGCCCTAGAAGGTGGAGAAGGGAGAAATGTCACCGATGGCCAACCCCTAACCACCCCACCTGTGGTGGGCCCCTGGTAGCCTGGGCATGGCATCACTCACCCTGGGGCAGGTGCATGATGCCCACACTGAAGCCCGAAACAATGTCCCCCAGGAGCCAGTCCTTGATGGGGTAGCGGGGCAGCCAGCGCAGGAAGGGCAGGAAGCGGAACAGCAGGGACTTGGCCGCAGAGCCCGAGCATCTGGTGGAGAGGGAGCAGGAGCTGAAGTTGAGCACGAGTGCAGGGGGCTTGGGGACATCAGTGAGGGTGGATGAGGCCCCATGGGAGGCAATGGGATCTGTGGGACCATCAGCTCCATCCTCTGGAGCCTGGTGTCCTCAGCAGGGCAGGAGGAAGGGCAGGAGGCAGGGAGCAGTATCTCAAAGATCACTGGTTTTAATAAACAGGAGGAAGCAGAGCATGCACCTGACTGGTGGCTCCAGGCAGGAGGACAAAGTGTGGACATGGGTGTCTGGGCAAAGGGAAATGAACCCCCAGGTCTGCAGCTCCCTGTGGTGGTGGGGCTGGGGTTTAGAATGGGGCAAGGTTGGGCACACCTTGTGTGGAGCAAGGTCCAGACATATCCCACTAGCCACATGGTCTTACCTGGTCTTGTGGAGACAGCCACGCAGAGAGGGCTTCGTGGGAGGTTTCCTCCGTGCCACCTCCTCCAGTTCAGCCTCACTCAGCACCTCACGGGGCGCTCGGTGGCTCAGGGCCATCTCTGCTGCCATGGCCACCTGGCTCTCCGGAATGCCAGCCCACTGCAAGGACACAAGGGACAGCTCAGCCGCATTCCCACGCTCAGGGGCAGCCAGCATCCCACCCACCCTGGAGCCCCTCCTCCAGCTCCACTTGGCCACAGAACCATCCCATCCTGTCCAGGTGGGCAGGAATGGCCCCGAGGATAGGCACGAGCCGAGTTTTGGGAGTCCTGAAGCAGCAGCACTGGCTCAAAATGGAGCGCAGTAGGCAGTCAGCAGGAGGGCAGGGAAGGCTTTGGCAATCAGTGCTGCCCACTCCTGCCCCACAGCAGCCCCATCCACCCCATCCATTGAAATGCACGAGTGGGGTCTGCCAACAGAGCTGCCTTGGGGGGGCTCCTTCTCCACCTGCCCCCGCAGGACCCACCTCAGTGCCAACCACCTTTCCCTCCGTGTACTGCAGCAAGGCAGGGCAGTGGGCCAGCACAGCTGCTGAGCAGAGCCCCATCCATCCCACAGCCCCATCTGCAGACTTTGTCCCTTTACACATGAGGGGAGCAGGAATGTGAAACCCCAGCAAATGTCACGGCTCACCATCCCGCCACCAGTGCCCTCCCTTGACCCCTGCAGTGCAGAGCTCTGTGAGCAGAGGAGCAGGGATGAGGTCTCACCCCTCACAGGGCTGGGATGGTGGGTCTGAGCAATCCCCATACAAATCTACAGCTTGTCCTTGCTCAGAGCTCACTCTGAGAGCTGCACCTTCATGCTGGGCCCACCCAGCTGGTGGCCTGATCAGTCTTAAGGTGCTCATCCACTTGCAGCTGGACCCACAATCCCCCCCTGAGTGCTGGAGTCCCTGTCTTACCCCCAGCTCTCCTACCTGCTGTGCTCAAACTGGTCAGGAGTCACCAGTCAGGTGCGTGCTCTGCTTCCTACTATTTATTAAAACCAGCCAGTGATCTTTGAGACACTGTTCCCTGCCTCCTGCCCTTCCTCCTGCCCTGCCGAGAAGTTCCGCCGCCTCCCAGCCCCATGGATGCACAGCACCCACCATGCTCCCCTTGGTGCCCTGGTGTGCTGGGTTCCCCAGCTGTGGCAGACCCAGCGCTGTCACCACTGTGCCCAGAGCCATCCCATTCCGGGAACTGTCTACTACAGCCTCAGCTCCTGGTCTCCAGCTCCATCCAGGATGCTGCCATGCCTGACCACCCATGTCATGTGCAAGCCAGGGGGCTTCGTGCCACTGGGCACAACCTGGTGCCAACCTCCTGCCACGAGCTGCCTCCCCAGGGCACTGCTGTCCCCCCACGGCTCCCGTGGATGTCCACTCCCCAACCCATGCCCTGGAGCAGGAGTTGTGACCAGGACGAAAAGGTTACCCACAGCCTCTGGTCATGGCATCCAGGCTATTTTCCCCAGACCCTTGCTTACCTGCTGGAAACAGGTGTGCTATGCTCTGTGGACTACCCTGGTCTCACACAAATCGCACAGACCCAGGTGTTATCTTGTTCCAAAGGTCCCCCGCGGGCGCTATAGTCCCACTGAACCCATCACACCTCCCTGGGCTGTATCACAACTTAGAGTTGGTTGCAGGGAATTTCTGAGTCACATTTGGCCCAGGCCCATGGGGACACGGCAGCGGAAATCCAGGCTCAAATTTCTGACTGGTAGCAAGGTGTGTGCAAAGGCAGGGGGCAGGGCCAGGCATTAGACAATCCTGGGTCCCCTGGGCGGTGGGATAGGGCTGAGAAGCAGCAGGAGCAGTGACATCCAGGACCACAATCTCCAGAGTTGGAGCAACTTGTCTCCATCCCTGGTGCCTTACTGGGGCAGCCTGTGGCCACCTTGGCTCTCTCTGCAGTGAGCACAACCCAAGTCCCACAGCCCCTTCAGTGAGGCTGAGCCTCTTCCCTCAACCCATCCCTGGCCCTCCCTGTCCACCCTCGTGTCCATCAGTGTCAGGTAAAGGCATGTCCAACAGAGGCACCCACGTGCGACTGCTGCCTCGTTTATCCACTCCCCATCATTTATTCACTCCGCCAGCACGGAATGAGAGGCCATCACAGGGCTCCAGCTCCAAAGCAGATAACACCCCATGTCATTTATTGCCCCTTTATCACTGCTCCCTGTCCCCGCCCATGCCATTGCTTCCCACACTCCAGCCCCGCACGTGCACCCCAGGCTGGTCACTCTGCCTGTGGCACCTCCTCGCCACTCCAGCCCCCCAACAGCTCTCCCTGGCCCTCACCCCCCAGCCAGCCTCTGGAAGGGCTGCAGGACAGGACCACAGCTCCTGGCACTGCCAGCACAGCTCCTGAAGGCTGCTCTGAACTCGCCCCCAGCAGCTCAGGTGACAGAGCTCATAAGGCACAAAGGGATGACAATTGATGGTGACCTTCGCTCGGGGCGCCGTGGATCAATGCTGCCCTTTGGCTCACCTGCTATTTCCTCTTCAACAAGAGGGGAGGGACAGAGGGCACAGGATCACGTTCAGCCTTCTCTGCCCACACTTCCTTCTCCTTGCTGGCAGCTAGCTTGACCCTGCTGAGGTCACGCAGCCTTTGGAAAAGGGATCTTCCTCCCTTATCCTAGGTCAGGCTGGGAATGCTGCCAGCTGCCAGGCACGAGCCCCACAGCTCACCACAGCCACTGTGGCATTGCAGCTCTGCCAGCCAGGCCTGGAGCCACTGCCAACCCCATCTCTGGGCAAACAGCCCGGACACAGCCCATCAATCACCTCACCTGAAGTCCCCAGCCCCTGGTCACCTTGCCTCAGGCCACAGGGACTCCCAGGCAGCCTAGGAACTGGCCATGAGCTCCTGCCCAAGCCCCCTCCCAACACCACCTTGAGCCCAGGTGCTGCATCCATAGCCCCAGCCATGAATCCCCAGCAGAGGGAGAGAGAGCAAAGAGGCCAACACCATTTTATAGACTTTTATTTCCAAATCTGGCGCTTCCATTATACACTTTTACACAGCCAAAAGGGGGGTGTGGGCATCTCCCCACTCCCTGCCAACAGAGTCAGGAGACAGAGAGAGGAAAAAAAAACCCAACTAAGTCCCCTAAAGGAAAAAATCCAAACTCAAGGAGGATGCTCCCCAGAGCCCAGGTCACAGCACTACAATCAGGGACCAAGCTGCAGACTGGTCTGCAAGAAGCAGATTTCTGCTTCTTGACTGGCCCAGCTCCACAGGGATGGCCACCAGCTCTGCAGGGATGGCCACCATCTCTGCTGCTCTCTTCTTTTTGGCACTTGACACTTGCTCTCCTTTTGGCAGCAGCACAAAGAGCCCTGTGCCCAACTTGGCAGAAACATGGGCCCTACAGCACAGCAGGGACAGGATCCCAGGACTCTGGTGCTGGCATTGCACAGCTGGAGAGAAACTTGTAAACGAGCTTGTTTCCAAAGGCAAAGATGGGCAGCATGGAGGTGCCTGGCTGCTCCCAGCATGTGGGGCCAGCAGGCTTTCCCTCTGCACACTGGTCCCAAATGGCATGTAAACATGTCAGCAGGCCTTTCTCTCCTCATCCTTGGGAAAAGGATGACAGGGAACCTGCCTCATCAGGGCTGTGCTGGGGACCCAGGGCACCCCCAGTCACCAGCCCTTCTGTTCCCTCCATACTCTCCCCACTGACTCGGGGAGGCAGCCAAGAGGCCTTGGCCTCCCTAGAGGCATGAGGACGGCAGCATGGGTCCTCTCCTGTAAACATGGCAGGCTGGGCTACAGTAAGATGCCACGGCAGTGTGGTAGTAAGGCAGTAAAGAGCACATGGTCATGCCCCGAGAGCACCTGGGGGGTGAAAAAGGGAACGTGCTGGCCCCGCTGAGCCGAATGGCCTGGCCTGAGGCTGAGGTAGGCACAGAGGAGTGCCATCTCACAGCACAGCCAGGGGTCAGCTCCCAGCTGAGCAGACACCATCCGGGTAGCCTGAATTTCCGGAGAGGGGAAAGTGCTTTTTATCTCCATCTCCCAAAATTCAGGTCACTCTGAGCTAGAGTCCTTTGCTACTCAGGGGAGAGCAGGTGTACACAGAGCCCCCAGGGGACCAGCTAGATACAACTTCTGAGGGTAATGCTGGACCCTAAAACTGGAGCCACATCATGCTCCTGTGGATGTTAGTCCTCTGCAGAGTGAGGACTGGCTCTGGGAAAAGCTAAGCCTGGTGCTAAGCAGGGCAAAGGTCATCCAGCTCCTCTACCAGACCCACAGACCAACAGAAGTTTGTTCTGTAACACACAGGTTAAAGAGCACAGCACCCAGTGGGTAACAACACAGTGCTCACTTGCCGAGCCGAGGAAACCAGCACTGATGAGAGTGGGACCATCCTGGCACAGGACAGGACTGCACAGCAGAGCTTGTCTCCTTCCCAGCATGTTCCTAGTGCCGAATTTGCTGCCCTGTTCACACGTGCTCTCGCTGGCACACAGCCCCAGCTCACAGAGGGGCAGCCCCACGGGGTGGTGGCTGACAGGGCAGAGGGAGGCCTGGCTGCAGGGGGCTGAGGGACACCAGGCAGGAAGAGACAGAGTTCGGAGCTGCACAGTGGGAGGGCAGGGGGGCAACGGGGCCAGCTGCCCTGCAGGGGGGATGGGACAAAGCAGTGCCAGCAAAGCCTTAAGGACTGCCTGGCACTGTTTCTCCAGCCCACTGGGATTATGTTCTAGTAGCCCCAGGGAACTGGCAAGGGGCTGTTGGTGAAATAAATGCTCCAGGTCCTGGGAACATACCATCCGTAAAAATAACCATAGAAATTTGTCTTCTCTCTGATTACAAAGATACAAAAGGATAGAAAACCCTCCCTGCCCCCATATCCTAGGCTCCATTTCTGTCCCCCTGCCACTGCCCACCCTTCACACACACACAGGCACACCCCACACACAAACAGCTCGCAGAGAAAGAGCTCGGCCCCCACGGGTCGGAGATGCCACACTTGCCCAGTACTACCTGTCACACCAGGCAGGTGATGGAGAGCATGGTGGCAGCTGAGAGCCTGGAGGCTCCTGGCAGTGGTGGTGTGGGCTGCTGGCCCCTGAGCCCACAGGGCAGGGGAAAGCAGGGCTGGTTTTGGGCCTCTGACAACCATCAGTTCTGGCCCCTGCTCCATGGGGATACCAAACCTCAGCTGGCAGTGCCTGGTGAAGAGCCCTGCTTCTTCCATCTCTCTTGTGATCAGTTTTGACCCCTCAGGAATGGCCGTCGTTTCTCATTATTCTTCTCAGAGGAAAGAAAAACAGTGTTAAGCCATGGCATCTCTCCTGGGCTCCAGCACCCTTTCCCCACTATGCCAGATGAGGACAGGGCAGAAAACCTCTCTTGTGCCAGGGCAGGAACAACTGTCTCCAAGTCCCTGAGATAAGGGAAGAAGGAAGGAGGGATGGGGTGGGGTGCAGTGGGAGTAGTACCAGCAGGGAGCAGAGCTAGAGGGAAAAAGTGACATACTGGAACAGGGTGCCTGGGGACAAATGTGGCTGGGGAAGGCAGGGCTTCCCTAGGACTTGGGCTCCCTCCTCTCCAGCCAGCCTGGCCCTTGCATACATCCATTGGGACTTAGAGCCAGCACTGACCAAGGGATCAGCCCGGAGGCCAGCCTAGCTGCACAGAGTATCTTCCCTGAGTACCCACAGGCCACAAGCAAGGGCCATCATCTCTTGGGCAGAAAGGACATTCAAATACACAGAGGCTTTTGCTTGTGCTGCACCACAAGCATCTGGAGCTCTCACACCTGAGGCTTCTCACTGCCCAGTGACTCTTCAGTCCAGGATACGCCTGTCACTCACCCAGGGAGCTCACCCTTACAGAGCCCTCACCCTCCAAACTAAACACCTTTGGGAAGAAGCCAGGCAGGTGGACAATGCACAAGATCAGCTGAACAAGACCTGGCTGAGGAAGGAAGGAAACCACTTACTCTGAGTCTGGTGACAGCTCTGAAATGCTGTGGGAGGTGGCAGAATGAGGTGTTGAGGGACACACTGCAGAGGGTGTTGAGGTCTGCATGGCAGAGGGGGTGGCGGTGGTCTGGGGGCCTGAAGGTGTGCTGGAAGATTGCACCGAGGACAGGACGGAGGAGTTAAAGGAAGCAAGGATGGAAGAAAGGATATCTAACTGTTCAGTGGAAGGATGTCGGCTGGGAATGGCCTCCAGGTTCTCCCTGGAATGCTGTCTCCTTGACAGCAGTTCTAGGCTTTCCCTAGACAGCTGCCTCCGAGAGAGACTCCCCAGGTTGTCCTGCGAGGGCTGCCTGCTAGGCACTGTGTCCAGAGGCTCTCTGGAATTAGATCTTCTGGACAAAAAGTCCAGCTGCTCCCTTGAAGCGTGTCTAGCTGATGCTAGCAGATCCCTTGAAGGCTGTTTTCTAGAAAGCAAATCCAATTGCTCTCGAGAAGTATCGCGACTTGGCAACATGTCTATTTGGTCTCTGGACACTTGCCTACTTGGCAATGTGTTTAGCCACTCTCTAGAGACTTCTCTTACTGGCCCACAGTCTAGCTGCTCTCTTGACCCAAATCTGCAGGGTAAAGTGTCAAGGCAGTCTCTGGAGCCCTGCCTCCGGGGCAGTGTGTTCCCATGATCTCTCTGACTGGGCCTAGCAGCGAGTAGATCCAAGTTTTCCCTAGATGCATGTCTGCTTGGGATATTTTCCAGGTGTTCAGTAGATCCATGCCTGCTGGGGATAGTGTCCAGCTCCTCTCTGGACCCGTGCTGACTGGGCACAGCTTCCAAGCACTCTCCTGAGTTGTGCCTGCTCAGCTGCTCCCGGGACATCTGTCTCCTCATCAGCATGTCAAGCTGCTCCCGGGACGAGTATCGGCTGGCTGGCTGCGACAGACTGCCAGCCCCAGAGTAGATCCTGCCATAGGAGGCAGCGGGGACCGCCCTGTGACCCAGCGTGGATGTCTTGTACCACGTCAGCTCATTGGTCATCCTGCCAACAGATGGCAAGCCCTGGAGAGTTGGAGGGTACTGGAGACGGTTCTTCAAAATCCCTGCACCGGACAGAAAGAGAAATCAAATATTTGCACAACAGCAAGAAAAGCAGGAAAACCAGGGAGATGCCTCCTCAAGGGCATAGCCACACAGACCTGACGCTGAGCTTTCAGTGTCACGTCAACCTGAGACGGGCAAGGTCACCCTTGCCTGCTTGCTCCAGATTGTTACCTTTTCTCTGCCGTTGGGTCTGGGTGAGGGAGTTCTCATCCCCACTGGTCAAAGCCAGGTCTGGCTGATTATTGTTGGCTGCATCCTTATTGATGTCAAATCCCAGCTTCCGCTCAGAGCCCCACTTCTGCAGGGAGCAGGGATGAACCTCGCACTCGCCCAGAGCTGGCCAATACGACATGAGGTCATTGCCATCCACATCTGATGAAGGACACAGCAAATCAGACCCCAGAGAAGAGGGAGAGGATATTTCCATGAGCAGCAATTGAGCCATCACAAGACATGCATGGCCCGAGCCCCAGGGAGCTGAGCTCATTCTTTTCCCTGCCAGAGGCCCGGGACTTGCCTTTGGGAGTGGTGTTGGCAGGGTTCGTGAGGAGGCGTTCGCTGTGTGCCGCCCGCTTGAGCTGGCGCTGGAAGCGGCCCCGCAGGCGAACGTTCTCCTCGCTCTCTGAGGACGGGATGGAGAGGCTGTGCTCTTCATCCAGAGACAGGTCACTGTCCGAGTCCGAGTCCTGGTCTGTGGGAACATGGTGTGTCGGGGAGACATTTGGAATGAAGGTGGGAGAGGTTCCTGCTGACAGCACCGGGAAGGCAGAACCACCCCTGGCTGACCACGCTCATGAGAGTGCCTTACCCTTTGCTGCCCCTCCCTCAGCAGCAGCCTGTGCCAGCTCCCTCGGCCCTACCACCAGGTACCTGTGAGAGGAGCCCAGCTCCATCTCATTGCACCTTCCTGTAAGGCAGCTGCAAATAGCACTAAGACCCCCTCTGCCTCCTCTTCCAGGCTGAGTAAACCCACATCCCTTAGTCTTTGCTTGCCTGTCCCACACTCCAGCCCCAGCTGGTCCAGCTCCAGTGAGTCAAATGTCTGTGCTGTACTGGAGAGCCCAGTGTCCCCAGAGATCCCACAACAGACCATGTCCCCTCTGTTGCCTCCCCCTTTTCTACCCCCTTGGGGACTTGCTATGCCCTTTGGAGGAGTCTGTGCTAAATGACACAATGGCTGCCTCTCCCTCCTATCTACCATGTGTTTGGAAGTCACATGGTAGCTGAACATGGGGTGCAAGATGTAACCATACAGCCAGAGCCTGCACCAGGTAGAACTTCCCAAACTCGGGAACAGGGCTGAGCCTTACCTCCCCCAGCATCACGGTGGAACATTGCCATGTCAATGTCCGTGGGGCCAGCGTGAGCCAACAGGCTGTGATCCAGGGCTGAGCCCTGACGTGCTGCCATGTTGTCTCTGAAAGAGAGGAGGCTCACACTGTCACAGTGGCAGGAGCCTCAGGCTCTGCCCAGGCACTGCTGGCCCCCAGAGCCCTGGCTGCTGCCTACCTGAGGTAAGCTCGCTGGCTGGAGTGGGTGCGGGCAGAGCGCACGCTGCTCACTGAGGACACCGTGGAGGCCCCCAGGGTGATGCGGATGAGCCCGCTCTCCTCAAACAGTGCTGTGTTGTTGTAGGCGCTGGGGCCCTGGGGAGGAGGGAGAGGGCACGTGCCCTGTTAAGGTGTTGCCACCGCAGCCCAGGGAAAGTGGGGACATCCCTGTCAGCTCCTGTCCCAGACTCACAGGCTGAGCCCAGCACTCTGGGCTGCTCTGCTCTCGCCCACCTGTGTGCTCCTCGTGGCCTCCTCGCTCTGCCCCTTCTTGCTGAGGCAGGCCAGCTGCCATGCCTCCCGCACCTCCTCGTTCAGTACACAGAACAGGACCAGCACTGCCAGGCCCTGTGGGGAGAGATGACATGAGAGACAGCCCTTCACGGCCAGCTGACCTGCTTGCCCACAGTGCCAGCAGTGGGACAGTCCCTGGCTCCTCCAGAGTCCAGTGTGGCCACTGGACTGGGATGCACCAAAAACCCCCAAATGCCAATGACAGCTAACACCTATAGTGGTTGTGGATAAAGGAGGAACAGGTCCACCTGTCTGGCAGTGGCCAAGCAGGCAAGGTCTCCTGCAGCAACATCAGCCTCAGCAGTGGGAGAACGTTGGCAGGGTGCTGCCATGGATCATATTTTGAGTGTCCAATACCTCCATCACATTCTCTTATTCTGCCCTCTCAGGACATGGAGGCTCCTTCCCTCCAGATGGTACTTGCTATCCTTTGGATGTTGCCTCTGAACCAAATGCCTTGCAGCCACCTCCTGCTCCGTGTGACTGCTCACCACGGACACGGCAGCAAGGAGTGGCAGGAGTCACTCAATGCCACAAAGGTGACAGCAGAAGGGACAAGGAGCTCAGCGAGATGTTGGGAGCTCAGCACAGGGCACCCATTCTCCACAGATGGCCGTGGGGACCACAGGGATGCTCTCCTGGGCTGACCCGTGCCCTCCCCAGCAGGGGCTGGGCAGTTACCTGCAGGCTGCAGAGGACAGTGTAGAAGTAGTGGAAAGCCAGGACACTGTTGTTGACAGCCAAGAGGCCAAAGAGCCAGGTAGTGCTAATAACTAGAAGCAGAACAAAGGAGCTCCGTAACGTCATGCTGGAGAGAGAGAGACAGACAGGGACATAGACACACACAGAGAGGTTAGTGCGTACTGTTAACCTACAGCCTAGTGCTCCCAGAGATCCAGAGGGGAAAGCTGCTGCAGAGACCTCCCTGCTGTGCCCAGCACTGCAGGCACATCCCTGCACAGTGGCCCAGCTTCCCCTGGTTCCCAGGCCTTCCCTTCTGGATCACACATGGCAAACACAGGGGCCAAAATGACAGAGGTCATTTCGAGCCACAGAGAGCTCAGCCATGCTCCAGGGCTGGCTCAAGAGGGAGTGGGGAAAAGGAGCATGTAGGAGAGGAAGAAATAGGTGTTCATAGCTGATATGGGCTGAGTGCTGAATCCAAGCAGACACAAGGGGTGGCTGTGAGAGCAGGTGGTGAAAAGGGACCAGTTGGGAGGTCAGTGTGGAAATGGGGACGTAGGAACCAGAAAGGATGACATTTAGGAAGGGTTAATGTGGCTGGCAGGGGTGGGAAAGGAGACTGGCTGCAAGGCTGACACTGATGTACAGAAGGGCCCTCTGCAATGGTAGAAGGAGGAGGATGGTCACTGAAAATGCTAAAATCCACTAGCTGCCAGAGCTCTGCTGGGAGTTTGGCCACTAATACTCACAGAACCGATTTCTTCTTGGTCTCCTTTTGGCCTGGGGAACAGGACATCTTGGCCACAAGCAGGAACATGACCCCATTCATCTGAAAGTGTTGGCACTGATTAGAAGCTGTGCCAAGGGTTGGCTCTGACCTGACCTCCCCAGTGCAGACTCCAGGTTTGCCAGGCCCTGCAAACATGCCCTCCTTTCCCCTTCATGCCCGAGCTGTGGCCTCCCCCAGGTCTGTCTAGAGTGAGGAGGGACAAAAAGAGGGCCTCTAACTGAGGGAGAGGGACACAGAGAATGGGACAGGCAGTGGGCAGCCAAGGAGGGGTGAGTGCCCATGGTGCAGAGAAGGGAGGCAGGAGAGGGTTGTGGGTGAAACAGGACAGGGTTTTACCACAATGACGACAGTAATGGGGCCTGCAAAGCTCCAGACCAGCTTATCATGGATGGAAATCCAGCAGAAGTCAGGGTTCCCGTAGCCCTCAGGATCCAGGCCAACGGCCAGCCCTGCAGGAGGAAGGGAGAGGTCAGGTCCAGAGCCAGCAGCCTTGGACTTGTCCAAACCATGCCAGCACTGTCAGCAGTGAAGGGGCTTTCTCCTTGTTCCTTGCCCTGTGCACAGGCTTCCCCACCACAGGGGGAAGGAGTCAGAACTGTGAGACTCAGCAACAGAGATTTTATTTCCTTTTCCTTGGGTGTCTGTGACACAGCCCAGTCCAGGAGACATGCACTGACAGCAACAGGTCACCCAAGTATGCCGGCTTGGGAAACCAAGAGACTTTAACTAGAAGACCTGAGGAGATGTGCTGTGAAATTACTTCTCCTTAGGATGCAAGATGACAGCCCTTGATGCGTGATCCCCTGACCACCACTGCTTGCTGCCAGCACTGCTGACCATGGCAGGCCCACCCTCAGCTCTCCACCCATGATGAGCTGGGCAACAGCAGGTGGTCAGGAGACTGCTGAGGAGCAGCAGAGCTGGTTTGGGCGTGGCTGCAGCACAAGCAGCTCTTACCAGTGATGATGGCAGGCACTCCCCAGCCGATGGCGTAGTAGAAGCGCATGGCCCCGAAGTTGACGTTGCGGGCTTCGGTCTGCATGCGGTAGATGTGGAGGCCCTGGACGAAGAGCCAGGCGAAGGTGGAGAGGAAGAAGCAGTGGAGGAGGATGGCAATCACAGTGCAGAGAAACTGGGGAGACAAAAGTGACTTAGAGATGGTGCCACTGTGCCAACGGTAATGGCATCATCCACACCTCACTCCCATGGGTGAGCTCGTTCAAGCCCACAGACCTGGTTCTCAGTGCGGTCGATACCCAGGAGAAAGAGCAGCTCAGAGAAGAAGAGGGTGACTGATATGTTGGAGTGGATGCCACGTGTGTTGGACTTGAGGCCTTTGAGGCAGGTCAGAAAGGAGAAGGTCAGCAGCAGAGACACCAAGGAGAGAGACACCAAGGAATAGGTGACAATTGCCAATGTCTCCAGATCACCTTCCAGTTGCTGCAGCAGCAGAGAACCAAAGTGTTAGGGGCAAACACAGGAAGCTTGCAGAACTCTCAAACTGTGTTTGTGTCCCACATGGAATTTTTTGCCTGCGCTGGGACCCAGCTGCTGACAGTCCCCACCATCACCCACAGTCCCACAGGCTGAGGTTACCTCTCGGTGTGAGCTGTCCATCAAAACCCCAAAGGTGCCAAACTGGGAGCACTGGCAGTGGACATGGGTGGTGTTTCGGTACACGAGCTCGCAGTCCCTGGCTGTCCAGAAGCCAGAGGGGTTGGTCCTGCAGTCACCAAAAAGCAGAGGGCACTTAGGAGAGAAGACACACAAATCATGTGGGGGGCAGGAACCACAGAGAAGAGGGGTGACTGACAAGGCTCTTCTGCCAGCAGATACAACTGCACTCCTAAAGCAGAAATACTGGAGCCAGAGTGTGGATGTGGCATGAGGGAAATGGGTTAGTGGTGGACTTGGCAGTGCTGGGTTAATGGTTGGACTCAATCATCTTAAAGGTCTTTTCCAAACAAAATGATTTTGACTCTGCTGTGCCCTCCCAAAAGAAACAAATCCCATGGGAGAAGGCGGAATCTGCACATCCCAGTGCTGCTCAGGGAAACTCGGGGAATGAGGAGGTGTGTGGGGAAAGCAGCTCAAAGAGAGCGGCCCAGCCATGCTCAACTCACGGGTTGGAGTGGTTCCACTGGACACAGAGAGGTTTGCTCCTGTTGGCTGTCTCCAGCAGGTAAAATTCCAGCACAAGAGGGGTGTCCAGGGGTCCTTGCAGGAAGGTGTGATTGCTGAACACAGACACACTCACAATGGGGGAGTTCATCACAGGATTCTTGGGGAGCCTGCAAGGAGCAACAGAGCTCTACCATCACTATCACTGCGTGGCAGCTACAGACCCCCAGAGACTTCTCAGGTGTCCTGTTCTGACAACTCAGAAGGAAGAACTCTGCTCAGTCTACAACATGGAGCTGGAAAACGTGGCACAGAGCAGCACCAAGGCTGGGAATCAAACCTCACCATTGAAGACTGACTTGGCAACTGCCAGAGGGAACAGAACAGAGTCCAGCCAGCCCCTCTGCACTGGTGCTGGTGGGGGCAAAGGGAGGAGGATGTACCTGACGCTGCGGCGATCCACTTGGTAGCGTGCAGGCAGCAGCCCCCCAAGGGTGCGGTACATGATGAGGATGACCACAGTGAGAGTGGGCTCGGGCTCTGGCAGCGCCTGCCTCGGGGAGGAGCTCTCCACAGTGTAGTTCCCTTCACCCCCAGCCAGCGTGGGCACTGCTGTGGGGACAGCTGGGGCACACAAGGGGATGGTGAGAACACACACACACACAAGAAACCACACACACACGCCAGTGTGTGCTGTTCTGAAGACAATTTACAAGGCCATCAGGAGCCTTTGGGAGATGGTGAATACGTGTAAAGCTCAGGATCTCAAGTTTGGCTCTTGGACCTCTGACAGAAACTGTCTTAGGAGGGTATATGCAAACTAAATGGCTTTCTAAGGTCCATTCCAACCCAAACCTTTTTATGATTCTACACCTTTCCTGCCAGCTGTACCCACCCATGTTGTTTCTTGAGTGATGCTCTTGTGCTCACCTTCAGCTTTGGGAGGGCTCAGCACCGACAGTGGCAGCACCACGTGGGTGTGGGGGTCCCAGGCGGGCTGGCCCCGGAAGAGGCTGCTGTGGTAGCGAGGATAGCGCCGGCGGACGTGGGAGTGGTTCTCCATGCGATCGATGCTCAGCACTGTGGAGAAGCAAGGCAGTGAAGTCACCTCTGGGGTGGACACCTGGAGAGCAACCCAGTGCACCCCAGGATTCAAGTCCCTGGCAGAGGGACTATACAAACCACAGGCTGAGTTGGGGCTATGACCTCTATTTGGGCATGACATTAAATCTCAGTACCCACAGTGCTCCTTCCCAGCCCAGATCCTTGCTCTGCCATAGGGCAGACTACTCCTGCCACCAAGGCCAGCTGCTTTTTCACTGGAGACCGGAAAGTAACTGTGAGCAGGGAGCACATTCTGGGCTCTGCTAGCTCTTGGAGGTCAGCTAGTCCAGGCAGGGATGGGACCAGGACATCTCTCAGAAATGCCTCCCCAGGTTAGATAGAACCATCAAGGACATTACCAGCACACTCCCTGAGATGCAGTGAGATGAGAAGGGAGCAAGGTGTGATGGAGGAGTGTCCCTCCACCACCTCAGCCAGCTCCTACTCACTGATGTTGGGGGTGACGACACCGACGGGGTTGAGGTAGGTGAGTTTCATGTTGCTGGCCAGCGTGCCCGAGTAGTCCCGCAGCTGCTCCATGAGGCTGGCGCTGCCGTGCTCCCCGTGGGGCAGCATGGCCCAGTGCTCCCGGTTCTCGGGCGCCAGCACGGAGCTGCCTGCACGCAGCAGGTTCTGAATGGGACACACGTGAGGACAGAGGTGAGCACGGCCTTTGGGCCTCTCCTGACCACCCCAGACTGCAGCACTGTGCTCTCTGCACAACAGCTCTGGGAAGAGAGGTACTTGAGGTACTTTCTAGCCCCCCCGCTCAATTCTCATCAACCAGTGCCCTGTGGGGACATCTTTCCTGCACCCTTGCCATGAGGGACCTGCCAGTAGCAGTAAGACCTCCCTTTGCCTTCCCAGGCTGAGCAAACCCAGCTCTCTGCATCTCCTCAACCACTCTTTGCTCCAGCCCTGACCATGCAGGCCTTGCTTCCCACACTGCTGCTGTGAACTGAGGAGCCCAGTGCTCCTGACAGGGTCCCACCACATCCTCAATCCTCTCAGAAACACAGGGTGGCTGCTAAGACAAGCAGCAACAGAAGCCACTCTGGCCTGGGGAAGAACTCACCTCATTGAAGTGGGCATCCTGTGTAGCTGTCAGGCCAAAGCCGCGCTGCTGGCTCTCGAAGGCCATGAGGCGGGACAGCAGGCGGAAAGCAATGTGCACGTCATTGCCAAAGTAGTGCTCCATGTGGTCTGTCACAGCCCGCAGCCGGTGGGCCAGCTTCTTGGCTTCAATTGTGTTCAGCTCAGTCTTGTTCCTCTCCAAGCCCTCTAGCTGTCAGTGGGGAGAAAAGAGAGGGTTAAACAATTCAGCAGGCTCCTTACCAGGAAATTGGGATCCTGCAGGTCCTGCTGGACACAGAGACTATTTCTGAAGCTGTGACAGAAGCCAGAGACCACCACTGTGGTCTCTAGAACAGGGAGAACATCTGGCAGAAAACCAGCCCCCAGCAACACACCAGGGTCTGCACTGGCCTGGCTAACCCAGTGCCAAACACCACAGAGGCCAAGGAGATGAAAGGACAGGGCAAGGCCCTGGCAATACTTCCCTGGAAACTCTCCTGGCTTCACTTTCAATGCAGCCTAGATGACATGATGACATTCAGCCTAGATGACATGTAAGTGTTGAATACACTTGCCTGGATATTTCAAAGGGATTTGTCCCTGACAAAATCAAGGGGGCTACAGAGGTCTCATGGAGCAGACACCCCACTAGCTTTGAATCACTCAGCCCTGCTCAAGGTTATTTATTTTCCCCTCAAATACTCTGGCAGGACACATAACATTTCTGAGGGGACACAGATTAAATGAAGCCATATGAACTTAAACTCAGACCACTGCTCCCACAGGCGGGATTTGGGGAAAGGAGGTGAGATGAGAAAGGCACCAAGCACTGTAGCAAGGCCCTCTCATACCCCAGGCACCCCTGGAGAGCTGAGTGCTTTGAATTCTGGCTGTGAGCCCTTGTTCAGAGGGCTCCTGCTCTGTCAGGGCTGCAGAGCTGAGAGGATTACCAGCACGGACAGCTCCTTGAAGGCAGGTGAAGTGCAGTTGAAGAGATCTGGCTCCAGCCAGCCCTTCTCCTCATCACAGTGTCTGATGGCTGCACCTAAAACAAGGAGGAAGGGCTTGTTGGAAATTCAGCACAGGAGACATGGCTGCCCTGCTGCATCCTCCCTGCAGGGATCCTTGGCACCAGCAAGTCCCAAAGAGTAGCACTGACAAGTGATGGGGAGGGCCTGTAACACCTCAGGGCCATCATCCTGCTTTGCACCAGTGCAACCCATTCTACTCTTGGTTTGTAAAACCTCAGCAAGCTGCTGCCATCCCCTCCCTCCGGGAGCTGGGTGCCTATGTGTGTTTTGGGGCTGCATCACGCCAGATGCCATCACACAGGATTGCAAGAAGACCTAACTTGGCAGGACCAGCCTGGAAAAGCCCAAGGGGACATGACTGTGTCCTTAGGCACATCTGACCCCAAGTTATGCAAGCCCAACCAACTCTAGGCATCCCCCAGCTGACAGCCTGCAATACCTGCTGAGGTCCTGCTCGCCCTACAGGGCAAAGCCGCCCCAGCAGCACAACAGCCCTGGTGCTGGAAAACCAGCCCCTGAGATGAGCCCCTTCAGCCAAGGGGGAGGGAGGAGTGGGATGGTGGACCCCAGTGTGGAGGATCCAGCAGTGTGGGTTCAGTATCCAGCCAGCCCCCAGTGCCTGGTTGGAGCCCAAGCATTTGTGTACAGCAAGGGAGTTTCCAAAACTGAATGGGATGAGATGTTAACCACCACCAAAAATGCTGCTAAAGCCAACATAGAGAAAAGAGTTCTCATCTGGGTGTGTCACCACAAACACTTTGAGCAAGAGAAACCGGACAACCCCAGTGTACCCAGCAGGACTGTGGAGCAGGTCCTCCTGGGGACAGCATCAGGGCACGGGAGCCCACCCAGGTGCCCATGGCTGGGAGAGGGTAGCAGGGGAGGGCAGGGAGAAGAAGCTTAGAGCAGGCTCCAGTTGCTGCTCAGAAAAGCCCCAGGGACAAGCGTACCCCCTTCCACCACCTCCAGCTCCTAGCAGTCCTCCCAGCTGCAGAAGCACAGGGACCAGTGCCACTGCAGCAGGGAGCAGGAAGAACAGGAAATCTCCATACTGATGGCATTCCCCTTGCACACAACAGAGATTGACTCAGATGCAGATCTAGGCAGAATCTGACCCCCAGGTCCCTGTGCCTTTCCCTGCCAGCCAGGCAGAAGGAACCGGACCTTGTGCTGTGCCTGTCCATCAGTCCCTGCTCCCGTCCTACCACTCCCCACCCAAGTAACTTCCCCTTCTTGTACCCCACAGCCATTCCTCCCAGCCTCACCACCCACTGCTCACCACCAGCTCCTTCCCCGCCCTAAGGAAGCGAGTGCCATCCAGGAGAGCCAGCATCCATCCCAGCCAGGGAGCAGAGCACAGACCTGCCCAGAGCCAACACTGCAGGCTAGGCACAGAGGGCGGCAAGGGCTGCATGCAGCTGCAGCTGGGCTTGTGCTGGTTAGTGAGCTGGGAGCAGGGAACACTGTAGGAGCAGTGAGACCAGGCAAAGCATTGGGAAGACCCTTGGCAGCTCCAGAAGCAGTGGGGAAAGCGCAGGGGTGTGCAGGGTGCCAGGCAAGGAGCAGGGAGGGAAAGCCGTGTGGTGCAGCCCTTAGAGCACAGGGGGAAGGAGATGGGAACAACCTTACCTGCACCCCTCAAGCCTGTGCACGGAGGGCGAGAGAACCAGGGAGAGAAGCGACAACAGTTAGGAGCCAAACCTGCCTCCTCCGGGGGCGAATGGCTGGGGAAGGACAGGGTTGGTATTGTCCCCTGGGGCTTGCACTGCCCTACACTCCCAGACACCCTGCTGACACCTTTTCTGTCACTGAGGACAGCTTTGCCTCCTCCAGCTCAGGATGCTGACTCCTACCCAGCATTCACCTGACAGCACACTGTGCCCCGCTTCTCTTGCAGGGCACACAGGGGTGAGGCTGGTGGAACCACAGCAAAGCACTGTGCCAGGCCTGACCTCAGCCTCAAGCCTGGTGAACCCAAAAAGCAGCAGGAAGAAGACAGGGACCAAGACTGAGGGAACAGCACAGCCCCATGGCTGGGTGATGGGTCTTATACCCCACAGCTTTTTCCCAACCCCAGTCCTATGGCCAGCACCCTCTGCTCTCTGCTCTTCCCCAGGCTGTGGCATTTCCTCTTCCAACTTCCTTCTCCCAAACTTCAAGCCCAGCTGAATGGGACTGGGGTAGTGCAAAAACAAAGTGATATTGCCAGGGCTGTTACAGGACAGCCAGGCTGCCCCCTCCCCTCTCCATCACTCACCCAAGGAGCCTTTGGGACACAGCACTGCAGCCGAGAAGCCAAACTTGGTCTGGGGCCACCACACACCTGCCTTCAGGCTTTTGGGGCAGCCGTCATAGAGCACTGTGGAGACACACTGGTCACAGGCCAGGCCACTGACACCAAGCCCCGTGGCACAGCTGCCACACTCCTGTGCCCACACTCACCCTGGCAGCCACTGGGCGTCACCTCGGCAAAGGGGCTGTCACAGCTGTTGCACTGGCGGCCGATGACCCCGGGCCGGCAGTGGCACCGGCCAGTCTCCCTGTCACAGGAGCGCGAGGTGGAGCCCACGGGGTAGCAGTCACAGGGCAGGCAGGTGTCACTGCCTCTGGGGCGGTAGTGGAAGTCCTGCGAAGAGATGGGGACAGTCAGAGAGCCCAATAGCACAGCAGCCAAGGCTGGCTGGGGAACCCCTGGAGCCAGAGAAGGTCAAGGCATTCCTGATTTTCAAGCACCCCACTGCCCCCATCATCACCATGCTGGTCCAGGAAGGCTGTACAGAGGAGCTGAGCAGGGATCCAGCCCAGATACAGGCAAACAAAGCAGGACCTGGGCAACTGCCAGGCCTTTGTGGGGGGACAAGGAACAGCAATCAAGAACAAGCAGGGTTTCAGAGAAGCCATGGTCCATGTCCCCATTGGCACAGCTGTCCCTCACCTTGCAGTGGCACTGCCCGTTGGTTTTATTGCAGTCGGGGTCAAAGCCCTTGTTCACATCACAGTTACAGGGCCCACAGGTGGGGTTTCCCCACCAGCCCTTTGGACACTGCTGGTCTATCCTAGGGAGAGAAATATCTTTGATATTACAACAACCAAATTCCCCAGGCCTCGTTCTGCCACCAGTCAGCAGCTCCAAGGAGGAAGATGGCACTGAAAAGTCCCTGGTTACATATCCAGGACGAGAGGCCAGCATGGAGCCAGGCCCAAAGGCCACGGTCCTGCCCTGTATCTCACCTGTGCTCGCAGTACTGCCCAAAGAAGTTCCCACTGCACTCGCACACGTAGCCCAGGCGTGAGCCCGGCTTGCGGCGACACACCGACTTGTTCTTGCAGGGGTTGAGGTGACACACATCCACACAGTCCCCTCCGTAGTACCCTGAGGTGTGGACAGAGACCACCATGTAAAACAAATACCTTCTCCCTCAGAGGTGCCAGAGTACCAACAGTGAATTCAGGGGGCTCAGGAGGGATTCTGCCCTCCAGAAAAATTCATTAGTGTCTGACAGGGATGTGACTTGCCCAAGGCAGACAGGAGAGCTGCCACAGGCCAGGAAGGAGTCACAGGGGCAGAGGAGAAGATAAGCAGGCACGAAGAGCAGAGGAGTGGCAGGGTGCTGCAGGTCCTACCTGGCTGGCAGACACAGGAGTAGCTCTGCCACTCATCCTTGCAGACACTGTTGGCCGGGCAGGGGTTGGAGTCACAGGGACTTGGTACACTGCAGCCAGCCTCCACCCGCAGGGCATGGCTGGGCTTGGGCAGCACGATCCCGGTGATGCTGTCACCCAGTCGCACACCCTGCAGTGCAGGTGACAAACTCACAGTGAAGTCAGGACAGACACACAAGGCTCCAGCTCTCCTGTCTTTCACAAACCCCCAGCAGCAGCCACTTGACATCCTCTCTATTTAATGCTACCCCATGGCACCTCAGAGACTTGAATGCCCGGAGGGAGAGTGACAGCAGCAGGACGGATGCTGGCAGCAGTTGCCAGATTTGCTTTTCCAACTCTCCACGTAACAGACCCACTGAAAAGGGAAGGCTCAGAGCAATGGACTCACCTGTATGCAGCCCCTCAGCCCATTCTGCACCTCGCCAGAGCCCAGGACTCCCCCCACATGCAGGTGTTTCACCTTCAGGCCATGCAGTTCATTTCCCACAACCACCGTGTCCTGCAGAAGGGAATAACATCAGGCAAAGGGCACCAGCCCTGGCCCAGCCCTCTCAGGGGGTGCAGAGGCACAGCTCTGCCTGCATTTGCCAAGCATCCCCCACAGTTCCTGCCCTGGTGCCAGGGCCTTAAGCAGCACCTACCTGGTAGAGCCCGAAGTCCAGGGTGAGGGTGATGACGTAGCGTGAGTCTCGCCCACTGTGCACGTCCCGCAGCTCCAGCTGGAGGTCGTGCCATTTCCCATCACTGAGCTGCAGCTGGTCCAGGAGGAGGCTGGTGCTGCGCCCTGACCCCCTGCTCACCATGAAGGAGAGCAGGCCCCCAGCCAGCTGCAGAAAGGGAACGGCAAAGCCTCATCAACTCCGGCTGCTTCCAGCCTAACCCTCCATCAAAGCATGGGCAGGGAAATCCATGCCTGCTAAACGCCTCTCCCCTCAACTACCCTCTGCTTGGGATGGAGCCAGCAGGGAGAACAAGGGCCCCGTGCTCTCCTGGGGCAGACAGCAGCAGGGGCTGTGGCTGAGGCTGTGGCCATACCTGGCAGAGCAGGGTGGTGTACTGGCCTGCGTGGGCCTGCAGAAGCACCCCATCCTGCTGGCGCGTCCGGAACGCCAGCCCCAGGTACCACGGCACCGAGATCTTCACATCTGCCTTGAAGTCCCAGCTCAGGACACTGTTGCCCTGAAAATAGTGGGCATGGTGCATGGCTGGAAAGGAAAGTGGAGGTGAGGAGAAGGGAAGGGCACTTCACAGGGAGCACTAGATGCAGGGACAGCAGAGTTAGTTCATCTCACATGGGTCCATTATTGTGCTTCCACAGCAACCCCAGCACAGCCTGGCACCCCACCCTGCCCGTGCCCAGCAGTGCCCACTCTCACCATGGCGACAGTCTTTGCCCCCAAAGCCAACAGGACAGAGGCAGGAGTAAGTCCCCCAGCTGACAGAGCAGGTGCCGCCGTTCTTGCAAGGGCTGGAGTCGCAGAACGTGTGCTTGGCATGACAACCTGGAGGTATCAAAGCCACCTGTATCAGCCTCAGCCAGTTCACCACCTCCCCCCAGCCCACATGGAAAGGCACTGCTGCCTGCTGGCCTTTTCCCAGGCTGTCAGAGGGGCAAGCCCTGCTGCTCAGTGTCTCCACACAGACCCTGCCTGCTCAGCTGTAAGGGTTAAGGCTGTTGGTGCTCCTTATGCCAGAACGAAGATACTGTAGAGCTAGACTGGTGATCTGGCATCTCCCAGGTCAGCCAGCTCAACAGGCTCTGGACTTGGGATCAGGGGACATTCCCAGAATGCTAGCTGGGGTGCCCATTGGATCATTTAGAGGGACCTGAAGGCTTTGTTCTCCAGTGAGAATCTGCTCAACTCCAGCTGTGGTGCCACAGTGCTGCTACAGCCCAGCAGCACTGCTGTGCGAGAAGGAGAATCCGCTCCTGGGCAGGGCTGGCAGGAGCAGGGGCAGCAGTACCTGCAGCAGTTCCATTGTTGGCGATGTAGGAGGCCAGGTCGATGCGTTTGCTGTCGATGAACAGGTCTCTCATGCATCCCACAAAGTCCCGGTGCGTGATGGGGAAGTTTTCTGGCAGGTTGGGGACCCCTCCAAGGAGCAAGGGACCTGTGAGGTCCAGGGACCTGCAGGATCAGAAGCCCAGGGCTTTAAGAGGTACAGTGACCTCACCTCAGTGCACTCCCCAGTGCACAGGGCTGGGAAGCAGATCTCCTCAGGGACAGGCACATACAGCCAAAGTCCTGGATGTGAAGGCCTGGCTCCACAGGGGACCACCTCTCCCCACCACAGCAATTCCAAGGAACTCACTTTTTTGAGCTGGTCTGCACACCTTCTGCAGCACAGGAGTAGTTTCCAATCTCGCTGCCAAACTGCAGGGCCACTGAAGCATCACATTCATCTATTGTCAAGATGGCCACCTTGTCCTTGGAGGGGCCCTGCACCACCCCCAGGGTGCTGACCTTGGGCTGAAAGCAAATGAAGGGTGTCAGCAGCACACATGCGCCAGACCCAAGCACCCAAGGGTTCACACAACAGCAAGGAAAGGCCTGAGCACAGCCCAGGCTCAGCTGTGCTTCTGTGAGCAATGCAGAAGGGAAACCTCCAGCCGAGCCCAGCAAGCAGCACCAGAGAGGGACATGGGCAAGGACAATGCATGCAGCACATTCCTGCAGCCTCCAAGTGAGGTCCTGCGTGTCAATCTGTCCCTGTACCCAGCTGTCTGCTCCACTGCATCCATCCCTAAGGGCTGAAAACCTCCTCTACCTTCTCTCCAGAGCCCCTGCCATGGGACAGAGCCAGAGAACAGGAGAGCCAGAGCTGCTCACTGGTGGGGAGAGAGAGCCATGAGTGTTGGGGACAGCTGGGGCACACGTACCTTGTTGTAGTAGCGGAGCTGCAGCGTGTGCCACTGCCCATCACTCACACCCCCCGGCAGGTAGGGACTCACTACCGTGCTGGACTCTCCTGAGGAGACAGGGATGATGGCAGGCTGAGGGAAGCCAGACAGCCTTCAGACGTTCCCACCCTTCCTAAGGCACCAAACCCACTGTGCTGCTGATGGACTTGTGAAGCTCACAGTGGCACAACAGGACAGAACAGCAGCAGACACACCAAAAGGGTTTGTCCTGGCTTATGCTCACAAACCACACTCCTAAGCCCAGGGAGAGTCCTGATACACACTGCTTATCTCCTGTGCTATGCACTGATGCCCACCAACACCTCTTAACCCTGCTTCCCTTAGCACAGGTTCCATCTAGGGCAGCATTCTTCTCTTCCCACTCAGGACAGACCTTCTCACAGCTCCCATGACACAAATCCCAGAGCAGGCAGGGCGTACCTGTGGAGTATTTCAGCTGGACCTGCCCCTGGATGATCTCCACTGCCAGGAAGTCGTGCCTCTCATTCAAACGCCCATTGTAGAGCAGGAGGCCGCTGGGCTCCACAGTGCTGAACCTGGGGCAGGGTAAGAAGAAGGAGGGCAGGGTGTGTGCAAGGAGCACGTAGAGACCCCCTCTCTCCTGTGGCATGCACCAGCATCCCAGCACAGGGACACTGAGACCTGAGCATGGGGGCCTGGCATGGAGACAGAGAGCTGGCAGCAGCAAAGGGCAGCAGCACTGCAGGAAGGTGTGAGCTGATGCCAGCGCAGATTCAGAGCCCTTTGCCTAAAGGTGCCAGGGCAGCCCCTGGGGAAGCAACACAGGGGCGTGGAGAGCATCAGGCAGTTCCTGGATTGGCCCAGCGTGCTGAGCACAAGAACCACCAGAGCAGGGCCAGCTGAACCCAGGCTGCCGGCGTGCAGCGGAGGAGAGAGAGAGAGAACTCACGAGAGGGCCAGGGTGAGGTGGAAGCGCTGGCGCAGGCCCCGGAACATGATGAAGGATCGCGGCGGGAAGGAGCGCGTGGACACCTCGCAGAAGGGCGCCTCGAAGCCGCCCGCCGGGCACTGGCAGCGGAAGCCGCCGTCGGCGCCGTCGGTGCAGGTGCCGCCGTTGCGGCACACGCCGGGCACGCACCGCCCCGCGCGGCTGTCCACCTCACAGTGCTCGCCTGCAGGAGCAAGGCCACAGGCTTGGGATGTGTACACTGCCGCCACCCACGCGCTCCTTGTCTTGGGAATGCAGACTTCAGCCCGGATTCAGGACAGGGCAGCTGGGGGGAAGCAGTCTGTGGAGCAGCTAGGGGCCAGTGAAGGATGTGATACCCCAAGTGTTACCCAGGCGTTCCCCACAGTGGCCAGTGAGCTAGCAACCACTGCCAGCCCAGCACAAGCCACTGGGCTGGGTGTGATGCCAGGTCTGGCTGAAGGGACAACTTTGGATCCAGTACAGCATGGGAATGAGACAGGAGGGCACTGGCCACAGCTGGGCTGCACAGTCCTAAGAATAGAGAAGCCAGCCAGGGAAGTCCTGGCAATGCTGAGAGTGCCTCCTTGGGCCCTGCCACCACACAAACCTTGGACAGGCATCTTAGTCCTGTCTCTGGGGTGTGGGGACAGCCCAGTGCTACTGAGCTCCTGTCAATAGCTATAGAAGTATCATCCATGGCATCGGGAGTTTCCAAACACTGCATGCAAGTGGGAACCACATGGGGAACAACAAATACCCTGGCACCTTGCTGGCATGGCTAACAGGGATGCTCCCTGCCAGTTCAGCAGTGCAGTGCGTCTGTCAGCCCCTTTTCCTGTGCTATTCCCACAGAACCCAGGGAACCAGTCAGCTAAAGTCCTACGCCCCAGGCCCTGCTCCCATTACTTGCTCCATGATACACAAGGAGGATGAGGAGACAGCATGAAGTGACAGGCAAATGAGCTCATTAACCCTTCTGCTAATGGTTGTTCACGCTTCAAATGCCGGAGGTTAATTACCACTGACTCTGCTTATCTCACCAGGAGCCACCTACAGAAGAGCTCCAGGCAGCCATCTGCTGCCATGCTCCCTCCCAACAGTGAGAGCCAGGCAGGGGATCCCTCCCCAGTAGCCAGAGGCCACCTCCCCACATCCTCCACTTGCCAGTTCTCCACAGCCTGTTGGGAACTTGTGGCAACCAGACTCTGGCTGGACTGTGAATTCCCCTGCCAGCCCCCCAGCTAGGACCAGATCCGCCTGGATCAGTTCCTGCCTGGTGCGGCACCTAGGCCCAGCCTCCCCTTCTGTTCTGGCTGGGTTGCAGCTTAACCACTGCACATGGGGCCAGTGTGGCTCCACACCTCTGCCAGACCAGCTGAAGAGTGGCACAGGCTGAAACCACAGACAGACTCCAATGGTCCCAGAGCTCATCACCCTCTTAGCAAGGGGCACAGCCAAGAAACCTCCTGTGCTCCAGCCTAGCGTAGTCTAGCTTAGTCCTCCTGCTCTGGGAGAAGAGGTGGAAAGTAACGGCCAGGGTCCCCAAGAGTCCTCCATGCCATCTCCCTACAAGACAGATTTCTATGGCAACCTCAGCCCTGCACATGCAGCACCATGGAAACACAGAGCTGGGAGCAGAGCTGGACCTCTGCAGGCACAGAGAGGTTCTGACATCCACTGCCCTGATGGGAAGAGCACCTGCCATGGTGACAGCAATGCCAAGGGACGCTCCCACCCCCTCCCCCAGGGCCCCAGCCCCAGCACTCACCGCTGAAGTGCTGGCGGCAAACGCAGGTGTATCCCCCCTCCTTGCGGGTGCAGATGCCCCCGTTCAGGCAGGGGTTGGAGTAGCACAGGTTGATCTCCGTTTCACAGTAGTCCCCGGTGAAGCCCTGGGGGCAGCGGCACCGGAGGCCGGCGATGGGGTGGATGGGCCGAAAGAGGGTGGAGTGAGAGGCGATGAAGGGCGCGGAGCTGTCGAACTTGAGGACGGAGATGCACTTCATGTAGTTCTGGCAGGGCTCCCGCAGGCACACGTTGTCGTCGAAGGGCAGCACCTCCAGCATGGAGGTGCCGGTCAGCACCATGCGCTTCATGTACAGCTGCTCCTGCAGCTCCTCCGAGCTGAAGTAGCGCCCGCCCCACGGTGCCAGGGCTGAGAAACTGACGTTGAGCACCGTGCCACCCACGTCCGTGTCGTTCTGGATGTTGAAGATGAAGATGTCCTCCTTGGGCGTCGCAAGCACGGTGGCCACTCCTTCCAGAAAGGTGGAGAGCAGCGGGGAGAGGAACCGCTCCTGCCACATGTTCTCCAGCCGCACCGTGATGCTGTTGGCCAGCATGTCCTCCGTGATGATGATCACGCGCAGGACGCACTGAGCTGTCACGCTGTGGATCCCGTCTGGTGGAAGGAACAGGAACACGCTGCAGCTCTCTCCCTGCTGCTTGGAGGGTCTCCTCCCTCCCAGCCCAGGGCAGAGCCCTGCACCCCAGTGTGGCCCCCAACAGGTCTGAGTCCTTGGTAAGGAAGCTTGGAGCCACAGCCCCAGAGATTGGTAGGGGGCCACCTGGGATGGAGGAGGAGTAGCTGGTGTGGCTGCACCTTCTCCCCCCCAGCAGGCTCTCCACTGAAAGAACTCTCAGGTTTTCTCCTTGTCCTGGATCTCGGCAGCAAACTGAGCTCTCAGGAACAAAGGTGCTCAGGAACAGAAGGAAGTCCCAGCAGGAGGTTATGCAAACACAGGAGCTGATGCCAGGGCCTGGGGTGTTTTGCTTCCCTGCTGTGCCCTGTCTGCCTTCCCCATGCTGCCTTTTCCTGTGCTATTCTCCTGCCATTTCCTTCCTCTCTCCTCCAGGCTCTCCCAAGCTTTCGTGCTGGTCTCCTTGCTTCCCCCCTTCTCACCATCTGCTTTGCATCTCTTCCTCTCTCAGCCCATCTCTGGTTTGTTTAAATCTCTATTTTCCCTGGAAACAAACTCCTTCCCTTTGGGATCGCGCACCACACGAGGAATGTGCCAGGCAGGAGCAGAGGAGCACGCAGGGACACGCGGAGCATGGCCCCTGCTCTCTCTCAGCACCTTGGCCAGCAGCAGCAGCAGCAGCAGCAGCAGCAGCAGCAGCAGCAGCAGCAGCAGCAGCAGCTCACCCACCACACATCGGTGCACTGCAGGGGCACGGGCAGCACAGCCCAGCCCAAACGGGCAATGGTGCTGTCCATGCTGGCAGATCTGTGATCATGGGCCCCTGCCCCACCCCACCTACCCAACTCCCAGGGACCCAATGGATCCTGACACCCCAGGATACCCCAGACACCTCTGCTAGCAGCTTTGGCTGGGCCAACCAGGTGGGAGAAGCCTGTCTGCTGAGCCCCAGGAGAATGCCTCCGGGTGATAACCTGGTCCCCTTCTTCTGGGCCTCCAGCACAGGCTCCACCAGGCAGACCCAGATTCCAGCATGGCAAGGCAAGACTGTGCCAACCTTGGTGGCGCCAGAAATGCTCAATGGGGCTCATTAAGAACCTCACAGCTCTTGAAATTAAGCAATCCATCTTGCAGCCCACTGCCAGCACCCCAACGCTGGTGCCCCATGGGCATTAGCAGCACACAGCTGTCACCTGTTTTTCTCATCTCCCATCCCACATTCACCTGAGAGGTTTAAACCCCCACATTTCTTTGGAAAACTGGCTCTCCATCATCGTACCAACACAACAGTTACATCGGCACATCTCAACAGCGACTCCCACAACTAATCCTGGATCCCAAGCCTGGCTGTAACCTCCCCTATGTGCTTCACCTCCTCCAGCCCAGTGCAAGGAGGCACGAGGAGCAGCAGGATTCCTGGCACCCCAGTCAGCTCCATCCCTGATGAGGATCAGGTGTGCAAATGCCAGGCGCTCGTCCCTCAGCCATGCCCCAGCCTCATGTACAAAGCTGTCTTTACTGCTCCTCTCTTCCCATGGCTGCTCTGCTGCAAAGTCTTTTGATTTCCCTCAGCCTCCTTTGAAGTTTGCAGTGCAGGAGGATTTACAAATTGAAACATCTCTCTTTCCTTCACCTCTCTACTCTTCAGAAGGTGAAAGCTTTCTAGTGACCCTGCAAATTCCTGCAGAAGCAGCAGCCTGCACACAGGGACTGGTGCTCTGGAGATAAGGCTGTCTCCAGGCTGGGGGGCAGCAAGCCAGGAGCTAATCTCCCGGAGGAAAGGGGGGTTGCTTCTCTCTGAAGTCAAACTGCTCCCATCCCATATGGAAGCAAGGTAAGAAAGCACCCCTCTGTGTGACACCCTGTCCACTCTGGCACAGCGGGCAGCATGAGCACCAGCAGCAAAATAGTTCCATTCAGCATCTGCATCTGGTTGGACATGCCAGGGTATCTAGATCTGTCTGGGCTCAGGGCAAGGAACTGGCATCATCACCTCCATTCCCCAAGGCATGTTCTCTTTGCAAGAGGCTCATGGGGTACTGAGACCGCCCAGACCCTGGGAGGCAGGAGTGCGAGGAAAGCCACAAGTCACACTTGGCATAAGATGCTCCCCAAGCCTCCATCAGCCTGGCAGCCCTCCCTGAGGAACCACCTGGTGAGACAGTATCCCAGGATGCCATCACTTTGACACCAGATCCCTTCTCCACAGAACTGGGTCGTGTCCCAGCTCCCTCTCATCCCCTCCCCTCTCCTCTCCCTTTGTCCCCTCCTCGCAGTTGGCCTCTCTGGTCAAGGCAAGCACGAGCTCCCTCCCCTCTCCTCTGCAGCTCACAGCTCACCCAGAGGCAGCCACAAGGCCTGGGGACAGCTCTTGCTCTCCCCAGGGGCTGCTCAGTGCCCAGCAATACCTGCCTGATTTATGGCCGCTGTTAAGCCTTGGCTCACACACTGCTGAGGGCATCCCGAGGCAGGCTGGAGGCCAGGAATGCCTCCCAGGAGCAAGGAGCCACTGTCTGGGGAACAGAGTGGGCTGGAGGGTACCTGATGCCTTTGGCATTGCCCAGGCCATGGCAGGGAACCCATGCATCCCAGTTCCCCACAGCGATGTGGAGCCAGGCCTGGCCCCACAGCCCTCCTCAGTAAGCCCCCCTCTAACACTGTCCCACCTCAGCATCACACCCAAGGCTGCCTCCCCTCTCCAAGCAGAGGGAAGCAGATGGTTAAGAGAATGACCCACTGCAAATGGGGAAAGAAAAAAAAAAAAAAATAAAGCTACCAGAAGAAAGCCCAAAGCTGGCTGGAGGCACTGACCCCCCATGGGAGGCATTTTAATCACAAACGCTCAGCCTTTCTGATTAAATCCTGTGGCTGGAGAGCTGTTGCCTGGTGAATATTCATGTAGCAGAGTGAGGAGTCCTAGAAACACAGCTACAGGGAATGGAGCAAGGAAAAGGGACAAGGGTCTCTAACCCTAGTGCTGGACAGCATTGAATGTTTGCAATTCCAAGACTGACAATTACCAGCTTCAAAAGCAACGAAGCTAAAGAAGAGCTCCATGTCCTCTTCTGCTGAGTGGCAGCAACAGTGTCCAAAGAGCAAAATGCCACTTTTCTGACCGCAATGGCAATTCCAGAGGTGCACATAAGGGTGCTCTGGGGACAGGCAGGGTGACTGTCATGTTTGCAGGTGAGGAACAGTAAAACACTTCCAGGCAGAGAAGGCAGGAAAAGAGACAGGTATCGGTATAGCAAACATTCCTTCCCGCTGCTGAAGGGTTTTGGCAGACCTCTCAACATTTTGATAATACTTTACCAGTTAAGAGAATGTGAAAGTAAATCAGACTCCCATCACCCAGCACAGAAGATGCATGCCATTCTCCTGCAGCTGAGCCTCCACACTTACCACCAAGCCAGAGAAACCAGTCTGAAATGGTTTGAAGTCAATATGATGTCAGTCTCTCATACTGCCCTGATTTCACAGTGCTGCTGGCCATGGACAGCCCCCCCATCCCACTGTCCTGCATCCTCAGCAGCCAAGAGCAGATTTTAACAGCCAGAAGTGTCTACATGCCTATGAGAAGCTGAGGTCAGTTTTATATCTATCAGCACTGCTGGAAAGGCACTGGTTTGTGATGGCCCAAGTCTTCTGCCTCCTACAAGGGGCTGAGCTAAGAATACACACAGCTCACAGGCAGGCAAAATGGCCCCTTGCCCTGTGTTTTAGGGGGATTCAGCCTCCCTCTAATGCACCATAAAGGCAGGGAAGCCACTTCCTCCTAGGATTCTGACCCTTGGGGCACCCACAGAGATGCTACTGCTGCGCCCAGCAGCAGGAAGGTGCTCTGTCAGACAGTGTCCGGGGCAGACAATGCAGCCAGGTCTGAACGTCCTGGCTGGCAGCTCTGCAAACCCACCCTCCCTGTGCACACAGCGACAGCATGGGGCCGGCGGAGCTGCCAGCTGGGCGGGGGGCTTCCAACAACAAAGACTGAAAAACCAAACTAGACCTCCACCTCCACAGCCAATATAAAAGCCAACAAAAAGCCTATTTCCCAGCATCTCACTTCCCTCGCCAGAACAGCTCTTCCCTTTCCATCTTCTCCCCTCCTTGAGCACACCTCTCCCATTCTCCCTTCCCGCTGGAAGATGACGACATTCTAATTGCAAGGGCCCCCTTGCCACGAGGCGGCTCGATACAGGACTTCAGGATGTGATTGTCTCCTGCCTTTGTGCAGGGTTAAGTCTGTAAGGAGGCAGGGCTTGCATAAACATATTGGGGCAGAAGCTGGAAAGGTCAAAACCACCCCCACCTCCAGCAATGGGCATGTGTTTGCCTGCAGCCGCTCTCGGCCAGCCCTGCGGCCACAATTAGCCCCCCCAGAGCCCCAGCCACTGCCAGGCTGGTGCTGCTCATGCAGGATTGCCTTGCACAGGTCTCCTTTTACAGCCCTTGCTCCATCTTTTGAAAGAGATCCTCCTCTCAGAGAATAAGCCAGACTGAGAGAGCTAAAAGGGAAGGCAGCTGGTAGCCAATGGTCAGGGGAGCATCACAATTTACAGTGCGGCTCCCCAGGCACTCCTGGCCGTTCAGTGCTTGGCCCCTCCAGAGCACTGGAGCTCTTGCCCTCCCTCCTGCAGATGCTCCATGGTTCAGCAATGGACAGATGCCTCCATTTCAGATCATGCATCCACCAGCTAAGAAAGGCTAGTGGTGAAGGCAAAGCTCAGGCTCTGGGAGCCCCAGGTCCAAACCCTGCTTGCCCACAGGCAAGCCCCATGGTCCATCTTTGTCCTGTCCTCAGCTGGGCTAGAGGGCATCCCAACACCCCACAAAGCCACCCCTAGCTACAGCCAGCATCTGCATTTGGATACCCCAACAACAAACACTATGCAAGAGTTCCAGGCACTGCACTCAGGCTTGTCACAGCTGTCCCCTAACACTGAGCTGGCTGCATAAAGGTGCTACTAGGCTTTAGAAGCCACCCTGCAAAGCAAGTATTGGCAGGTGCCACAGCCAGAATTGGGACTGAACTGTATGCTACCAGCAGATGGGTGTTTAAGCAGGCTCCTTGTGCACTGAGCTCAGTCCCTCCCTCCTGTGCACAGCCAGGGAAGCACTCAGTCCCGGCAGAGAGAAGGGCCACCTGGGCTTGGGAGCAAAGCAGTGTACCAGCCGCTGGGCCAGCAGCCTGGCCATCCTGGGAGCTGCCTCCTTCCTGGGCCAGCACCCTGTGGCACACAACACAGTCTGGCTGGCCACACCACCTCCAAAGGTGCCTCACTAGCAGCCAGAAGTGATCCCACAGCTCAGTAACGATGCTTTGTTCTTGCAGACCATTTCCAGCCTCAGCCCCTTTACGGAGCACTGCTCAACAGCCTGCCTCCCATCCACCCTTCACACCACTCCAGCAGCATTCTCTGACTGGAATGGACTCCCAGTCCAAATCTTGTTACCAAGCCCCCAACCCCCAATGCAAAATGGGCTGCCCCAGAGGGACCTCACAGAGCCCCCCAAAGGTACTGTACCAAAGATTTAATGATTTTCACTCCCTACCTGTGACAGTCATCAGCATGGAGGCCACAAGTGGACGATTGTTGTCCAGCTTACGGCTCAGTCTCAGCTCCCCGCTCGATTGATTTACAATCAACAAGTGTAGTTCATTTCCCCGCTCAAAGGTGTAGAAGAGGTGGTCAGATGCATCTGGGTCATACGCTGGGACCTTCCCTATGACCCCTGAGGGGAAGGTGTTGGATTTATTGGACACGTAGTTATTGAACAGGATTTGAAAGTTCTTCAGAACAGGGCTGTTGTCATTCTGGTCAATGAGCTTGATGTGGACTGTAGCTCTGCTGACCAGAGGGGCAGAGGTGGCCTGCACTACAATCACATATTCAGATTTTGTCTCATAATCCAAGTCTATCAAGGCTGTGAGCTCCCCAGAAAAGATGTCCATCTGGAATATCTCAGGGATGTTGCCTTCCACAATTTGGTACATGATCTGGGCATTGGGTCCCTCATCCGGGTCAACAGCTGTGATTTGGGCCACCACAGAGCCTACGATGCTGTTCTCCTTAACCCGGACCTCAAACTCTTCAGCAGGAAAGACAGGGGCATTGTCATTCACATCCTGAATGGTGACCTGGATGTGCACAGGAGTTCGCTGAGGAGGGATGCCCCTGTCCACAGCGTAGGCAGTCAGCTCATAGACAGGAACGTTCTCGCGGTCCAGCCTGCGCACGGTGCGAATGATCCCCGAGGTGGGCTCTATGGTGAAGTCTCCATCCCCATCCTCCCCGTTCTGGAAGGTGTACTGCACTCGCCCGTTGGTGTGGGCATCCCGGTCGGTGGCAGAGATCTGGAGCACACTGGTGAAAGGAGGTGCATCCTCAGAGATCATGCCCTGGTAATGAGGGCTGACAAACTGGGGGGCATTGTCATTAACGTCATTCACCATGATTTCAACATATGTGGTGTCTGCCTTCTGGGGGATCCCATTGTCCTTGGCAGTGATAGCCAACGTATACGTGACCTGGTCCTCATAGTCCAGTTCTGCCTGGAGGGTGATGGCCCCAGAGTCTGGATCGATACGAAACTGAGGGACATTGTCTTCCAGGTAGTACGTGATGCGGGCGTTTTCCCCCACGTCGTCGTCCGTGGCACTGATCACCACCACGGTGCTGCCCACAGGCCGGTCCTCGTTGATGCTCACAGAGTAGTGGGCACTCTGGAACACAGGCCGGTGTGTGTTGGCATCGGTGATGTTGATGTGAACGTGGCAGTTGTCACGCAGGGTGCGATCAGAGGCTGTCACGGTGAGCACATAGCGCCTCTCCTGCTTGTAGTCCAGTGGCAGAGACAGAGTGATGAGCCCCAGCCCACCCTGCGTGCTGATGGAGAAGCGGTTCCGTGTGTTGCCTCCTGTGATCTGGTACGTGATGGCACTGTTCACATCCCGGTCGACTGCCGTGACGCTGAGCACGCTGGTCCCCACAGCTGCATCCTCGTTCAGGCGGATGAAGTATTCCTTCTGGGTGAACTCAGGGCGGTTGTCGTTGACATCCATGACAGTAATGGTGACACTGGCTGAGGCGGATAAAGATGGAGAGCCATGGTCATGAGCCTCTACCCCAAAAAAATAGTGCTCAACCGATTCTCGGTCCAACGGCCCACTGACTGTGATCCACCCCGTAGCACTGTTCACCACAAAGGGTGTGTCAGCTGAAACCCCTGTCAGTTTGTACTCCAGGCGTGAGTTCTCACCGTAGTCTGCATCCACGGCCTGGATGTGGATGACAGAGTGGCCAAGGGGAGCATTCTCCAGGACGGAGATTTGAAAAGGGGTGCTGACAAAAATGGGGGCATGGTCATTGATGTCCACCACCTGGATGCTCGCCATGCCAGTGTTGTTAGAAAGAGGAGGACGCCCTGCATCCTGAGCCCGGATCCTCAGGGCGTACTCCCGCTCCACCTCAAAATCCAGGGGGGCCACCACCTGTATTTCCCCAGTGACACTGTCAATGGAGAACTGGCCCCGACTGTTCCCACTGATGATGTTGTAGTGCACCAGCGCGTTGTTGTCCTTGTCCAGGTCTGTGGCGGTGACACGCAGGATCTCCGTGTGGGGCCGTATGTCCTCCCTCACTTGGACAATGTAGCGCTTCTCACTGAACTGAGGGATGTTGTCATTCTCATCGAGGACCGTGATGTAGACATTAACAGTGGCAGAGCGGGGCCCCGGCTCCCTGCCCTGGTCGTTGGCTTCCACCACCAGGGAGTACTTCTCCATCTTCTCCCTGTCCACTGGCCCGCTGGTGGTGATGAGGCCGGAGCGGGGATCAATCTCAAAGATGTCGTAGGCAGCCCGTTCATTGACAAAGCGGTAACGGATGTTGGCATTGGGAAGGGAGTCGACGTCGGTGGCCCGCAGCTGCAGGATGGGGTATCCCTCCTCAACGTTCTCCCGGATGGTCTCCCGGTACTCGCCCTGCTCGAAGACGGGGTCGTGGTCGTTGCGGTCAGCCACAGTGATGGCCACCATGGTGGTGGCGGAGAGCCGCGGTGCCCCGTGGTCAGTGGCCGTCACTCGGAAGTAGTGCAGGTCCATGCTCTCGCGGTCCAGGGCCTGGGTGGTGGAGATGAGCCCGGCCCGCGGGTCGATGCTGAACAGATCCCGCGAGCGGCTGTTCATCAGCGCGTCCATGGAGTACACCAGCCGCCCCGCCTCGCCCCCGTCGGGGTCCTGGGCCGTCACCGCCACCACCGCCGTCCCGGCCGGCTGGTTCTCCGCCACCTCCGCCTGGTAGTTGTACTGGGGGAACAGCGGGTGGCGGTTCGGTGCTGAGCGCCGGCTCCGCCGCCCCGGGGCCGGCGCCGGGACCAAGGGCAGCGGGCGCGGCCGGGCGGCGCGGGGCGCGCAGCGCGGCGGGGACCGGCGGCGCGGCGCCGGGGGCAGCCCCGGGGGCACGGCCGCCGCCCGGCACGGCACGGCGGCGGGACAGCCCCAGCGGGCTGCCGGCCCCCAGCCTGCCGGCGGCGGCGGCGCGGTGGCCCCCAGCCCGGAGGGGAACAAAGGGAGCAGCAGGAGCGGCAGCAGCACCAGCAGCAGCGGCGGCGGCGGCGGCTCCCGGCGGCGGCGGCAGCAGGAGCGGCTCGGGGCGGCCACCGGCTCCTCCGCCGCTGCCATGGTGCCTCGGCGGCCGCCGCCCGGCCCGGGCGCACGGCGATGGGCTCGGCGCCGCCCCCGCTGGCGCCGGCGATGGCCGCCCCCTGCCCCGCCGCCGCCGCTGCTGCTGCCGGGGGTGGCGGCGGCTCCTCCCGTAGCCCCAACATGGCTCCCGCCGCCCCGCCCCGCCGCGCCCCCGCCCGCCCTGCGCCGCCATCTTGAGCGCGGGCGGCCGGGCCGGGGCATTCTGTGCCGGGCCGGGCACTCTGTGCCGTGCCGGGGCTCCGTGCCGGGCCGGGGCGCTCCGGACGCTCCGCGGCTCCCGGCCGGCCGCGCCGGGCACTGCGGGCTGGCCGCTGCCGGCCCGGAGCGGCGTGTGCCGCCCGCCAGAAACCTCCGCGGGCCCAGCGCTGCCGGCCACGTCTTTGCGAGGGGCTGCACCGGCCGGCTCCGGGTGAGCGGCTCCCGGAGCATCCCTGCCAAAGCTGCAGGGCCCGGGGACACCGGGACACCGTGCACACAACACGCAGCCCACGGACCCGCTGCTGCGGCACTGCCGGTGCACCGGGTGCCGGAACGGTGCCCGTGCCACCGGCAGCGCCCCCAGGGCTGGGCCGTGCCCCCGTGCCCGAGGAGAGCCCGCGGGGACCGCTGCCCTGCGCCGGCACAAAGGGCGCGGCAGGGAAGTGCCGGCGGTCGGGCGGGAGGCGCTGCCCTGCCGTGGCAGCCCCACGGCCCCCAGGGATGGGTTTTACAGAGTGAATGAGGACAGACTTCCCTGTGTCCCGCTCCTCCAGGAGGTGCAAGTGGTGTCACAGCCCCTGCCACCCGCTCCCCACACATGGGAACCCAAGTGCGTGGCACAAACTTAGCTATCCCACTCTGCTTCCCTGACACAGACCCCAGCTGCCAACACCCACAAGACGTGGCATTATCACCAGAGGGAAAGTTGCAGATTTTGTTTCCTGCATCCCCGATATATAAAAAAAGCCAACAATCAACCTCATATTTTTCTGAGGAAACTCCAGTTTGAGGCCCTTGCATTACGGTGACTCATTAATGCATCAGCCTCGTAATTTAGCTGTTGATGTGATTCAATCAACTAATTCTCATCCTAATCCTCTGGAGCTCATAACAGGGTTTAGGTCCTCATTAGTGTTGTGTGCCATGGTAAAGGGACATCCTTAGCTATGTCCTGCTGAAGGAGAGGGCACACTGGGGTAAATGCTAGGGAAGAAAGAACTGTGTCAAAGAGGAAAATACAGCAAATCTGGGAGATGGGGGGAGTTGAGGATGGGGCAGGGCATACATGGGACACACCGTGCGTCCATGCACATCCTAGCTCCAAAGGGGCCCTCCACCACCTGCAGAAGCCAAGGCCTGGCCACCACTGGGGAAGCCACAGGGTGGGTAGAGCAGGCAGGGCTTGCCCTTGCCCTGTTGCTTGTGCTGACCATGTGTTTTAGGACCAAGACGGGAAGTACCAGGCAGGCCCTAAGGTGGTGGCCAGTGCAGCTCAGCATGTGCCACAGAGAAGTTCCCCTGGTGCTTACACAATGCTCAGGGCTGACATCCAGTGAATGTGGATGTCTAACCCCTGAAGAAGGCAACATGTTAATTTATTAACTCCATAGGATGAGTAATCTGCTGTGATTAACTCCTCAACCACCACATAACACCTCTGGCTTAGGTGGTCCAGCACCAGCACTGACGGGCTATGGCCATACCATGCTCTTGGCGGATTTACGTTCTCCCCTACAGACCCTTAAGCATCCACTTGAGTCCTCCCAGTGCTGTTAGGATAATGCCAGAGCAGCCCTGGCCCTGCACACAGCTCACCCAAGAAACTTCATTTAACATAGGGCATCACTTGTGTGCAACAGGAACATGCTGGCTGGATCATACATCACACCTCCTCAAATTGGGGATGTACCATCAGGAAACCAAATCAGGAGAGAGGCAATACTTTTTAAAAGTAATGAAGGCTGTCAAGTTTATTTGTTCTAATTACCCAGCTGACAGCTCAGGGGAGGAGAAGAAAATTATCAGGGTATTACTGCCACAAAATAGTTGTAATTGAATCATTCCAGACAATAAAGCAGAAGCGCAGGTCACAGGCAACGTATCACTTTCCCCGTGCCAGCCCCCAACACCCCTCAGTGTTGCACCACAATAAAAACACCAACAGAGGAGACACTGCTCTAATTGTGCATTATTACAGCAAACAATCTTGAGTGTCTCACCTATATGGAGAGCAGGATCTGCTGAGCAGGCCGGGGACAGCGAGTTTACATGCTGCAGTTTGATTCTCTGTGATGTGTGAATGCCCCTCCTGTACAGCAGGTGCATCTCTCCGCCTGCACCCCACAGCCAGCTGCCCCCCAAGCTCTTCCAGCCCTTGGCTGTGGTGGCAGCGGGGTGGTGGGACAGAGGGTGTTACGCTGCTGTGCAGCTGGGATAGGGTGAGCAACCTCATGGACAGCAATGGCTCTGGGATCCCAATGGGAGCCACCAGCTCTGCAGTCTGGGCTCCTGGCGAGCAGAGCCACAAGTCCTGCCACTGCTGGGTCTGGCTGGCACAGCAAAGCCCGTGCTGTGTGACTGGGGGCAAGTGCCAGATGAACATCTCACCACAGCAGCATGTCATGGGCCAACAACAAGCCCCTGCAGCACTCAGAAGCAAGCCAAGGTTGGCACAGGGACACATGCAACCATGTGCTGCACAGAGCAATGGGGCACAGGAGAGCCACCTTGGGGGACACACCAATGCGGATTGGCAGCCCTTATGTGTCATGACTGATCCCAGGTGTGCAAATTGCACACTTCAAGGCCACATGCCTGAGGACTTAGGAGACATGGGCCAAAGAGGCAGGAGCTGGGACAGTCCTGGCCCTGATTCTGCAGGTAGCCGTGTTTGATGGCATCCCTATGTTTGGAGTGCACATCTTGCACCTGGCATTTACACCCCTGGCCTAGCAGGGCTGTGCCCATGGCCTGATTGGCTCTATTGGCACAGAACCAGGAGCAGAGACCCGCTTCCTTCTGCCAGCACAGTGCTCTGCCCAGTGCCTGCTGTCCTCCCACTGCAGAACCCCTGCCATCCCAGGCACCCAGAGCTGCAGGCACGGGCTGGGGTGTGGGAGCACACAGCCGCAGCCACAGCGCGATTCATTACACTCGATACAGACCATTAAACCCTTCCGTGCCTGGGCTCGCTGCCGTGGCAGCTCCGCTGGGAGCCAGCGGAGGCTGCACTACCTTGTGCGAGCAAACTGGGAGTCCAGCTCTGCCAAACCCTTGATGTGCAGCAGCGATGCTGGGCAGGCCCCAGGAATGACGGCCGTGCCCCTAGCAAGGGCTGCTGCCCTCCACCCTTCCATGTCAGCCAGCAACATGGTAGAAAAAGACAAGGCAAGAAGCTGAATGAGGGAAAACCCCCAGCATTACCCCCATTTGGCGATCAGCTTTGCCTCTGTGGGCAGCAGGCATCCAGCCACTCCTGATCTTTTGGTGCCCCCATGACAGGATTGGGCAGGGTGGGCTACACTCACAGAAGTCCAGTTTAAGACATTTTTTATTCTTTTGCAGGTTACACTTAGTGTTTAAGAAAATACAGGATCCCTTTTGACATTCATACATTTTTACAGGGGAAAAAAATAGGTTTCTCTACTAGGGTGGTTATTAAGCTTGGGCATTCCCAGGCTGACTTCCTTGCCCCCCATGGCTGCCAGGCCAACACCCTCTGTTCTCAAAGCATCACTGCCCCAGTGGCCAGTCCAGGCCTGCAGAGCTTGTGTTATCCCCTCAAGCTTAACAAAAAAAAAAAAAAAAAAAAAAATTAAAGTAAATACAGTGCCCAGTATTTCCAGTTTCACAGCTCCTACACTGGCTACTGCAAAAGAAGACCTGGAGACAGGGAGTGACCACACTGTGCACACAAATATCTAAGAGACCCACATTAGTGTGTGTGACTATCTGGACCAGGGAAGCAGGTTAATCCCATTTGCTAGAAACCTAGAGGAAATAAAAATAAGGGTTCCCCACAATTAGCGTAGTCACAAACAGCTACTGGACACCAGGCTCACGCTGCCTCTGAGCGCTGCCATGGGGACAGGGAGGGCAGCGAGGCAGAGCTACGATGAAGCTCAAGGCAAGAAACTCACGCGCCTCACAAACAGAGCGTGCCTGCCCAAGGGCAGCCCCTCTGCTCGACGCGATGCTGCGACAGAGGTGGCAAGTGACAGCTTCGCTTGGCAGGACATGTCTTGGTGCTGTGTCCGGCCAAGAGCTTCCTAAGGGCAGTGTCATCCACGTGGCTCTTCTAGGCTGCCACAGTGTGCAAGAAATTCAGATTTAAACATCACTATAGAAAGCAGATTGAAAAGCAGCTGCTGGGGTAAGACCTCCATGACCCAAGGTGGGCTGCTGCCCAGAGGCAAAGCGGAAGGCTAAGGAGGGAGCGAAAGGCTCACTAGACGAGGCGTTAGACAGCGAGCAGCTACTTTCCCTTGGCAGGGCTGCAGCACATTGGCACTAGCAGCAGGAAACAAAACAGATGTTACAAAAGCTTCTTCCAAGCACCAGCAGACTCCACTTGGTCACTGCAGGGAGAGAGACACACATGGAAAAGAAGTGATACTCTAAGGCAAAGGCCTTTCTCTTCAGGACCTCGGGACACCAGTGCAGCTAAACATCCCCCCATGCTGGCTGCTAAGCCCCCACAAACTCTCTGCCCTTCCCACTAACACCAGCTGCCCAAAGAGCTCCTTTTTTGCAGGCAAACCACACGCCAGTGCCCACCCTGCTCCACCCGCCCCGGGCACCAGGCCCCGGGGGCACCCCACACCCTCTCTGCCACTGGCGCTTCCAAAGGGCCGGTGAACGCGGTCCCAACCTTAGGCCTCACACAGAGGGATATAAGGTATGAGCTGTACTGGGAGGGAATGGGGACAAAGTGTCAACAAAAGACATAGTCGATCCAAGTGGTTCAAACTCCAGTCCAAGCTGAGGAGCATTAGCTGGTACCAGAAGAGATT